CAAAATTTCAAGTGGCTATTTGAAAGAAAACGGGGTAAGTATGACAGTTTCCAAGCATTTCATCTTTTATCTGTATAGATCTTACTTAATATGTTCCATAATTTACGTCCACACCTCTCGATCCACACTGTATAGTTATGTTTACTACATTTATTCATGAATATATCAGTTATATGATATGTGGCAATATAATGGCAAGGACAAATATTTAATTAAATAGATATACATATCAAAGATATTCATTAATTGTTGATAATATTACTGTTTAAAAAACAAGGGCAAGATTTACAGCTAATCTAGTCATAAGAAATATTGAAACTGAATATTATAATCCGTTATTTGATCACATATTGGTGTGAAGGATAATGGTCATTGATTTTTCACCTATTTATTTCTTATGCATTTAAACATAATCTGGCAATCAATAAGGAACTCACATAAGTACTCATCAACAAATTTTTTTTAGAGTATCTGAGTCAAAAGTTGACTACATCCTGTATATTTTTTTTCTAATTCAATTCAATTTTCAACATGCGAAATCATTTCTTTAAAAATTTTCACTTCTACTAGTTAATAATAAAAACTTTGAATTCTCATGACTCACAGCTGTCAACGACTCTCAATAACAACTATTCAAAGTTACGACTTTGGGTCAAAAAAACATTATACAGGGCGATTCAAAATTCGATATAAATATTTTATGGACATATCGTTGTGATCAAAATAAAACTTTTTCTTTATATAAACATATGTCCTAAAATTCAACCCCTCCAAGCTACAGCCACTGTAAGTTAAGTAAAGAAAAAAGATATTCTGAAATTGTGACTAAAATAACGGATCTAATCTTCTGAAAATTGGCAAGCCCCTGTCCTTTAAGACACTTTATTTCATTCTGGCTTCAAAAATTATTTAAACCAGTTTTCGGGGGGTTGGAGTGGGGTCCTCACATTTATTGGCCGAAATGTGGTGCATTTTAGGACACAATATGCTTGTATGAAGAAAAGTCTTATTTTGATCCCAACAATACGCCCTTAAAATATTTACATCGAATTTTGAATCACTCTACATTATGAAAATATGTAACAGTAGTGGAAGAACTAGAATTCAAACCACGGTACATAAGACCAATCTCGCCTCGACTCATATGTCCGTCGATGCTGAAGCATCTCGGAAACTAATCCAGCTATGCATAGGAAAATATCTCATGTACCTTGGTTAATACGAACTATAATCTCTATTACCTTTGAAATTCGTTTTTATTATAATCTGCAAAACAGAATTCTGTAAGAAATGGAAACTTGAACCAGATTGAATTCAGTATGACCAAATAATATATTATAAGTACATACTAATAGCTATTTATAAATTAAGGGAGCAAAGGAATACATTTCCTCCCGCGTGTGAAGTAAGATGCCCGACGCGTAGCAGCATTGTTCTAGATATGCAATAAGTTTAAAGCAGGAACATTGATAAATTATTGAATGTTTCGACACTACCACCTCCTATAATAGCTGCCGATTTGGCCGTTACTTTCACATATCTTATTATTTTGTTTCAACTCATGAAAAGACAGATGTAATATCCTGATCCTAATGCACATGTTAGGATTAGGTCGGATTTCAATCAAATACTCACAAAACAGAAATATGTTAAAAAAAAATGGAAAAAGAAACTTCATGGTATAGTCTTTCCAAAGTCAACTGGAGCGGCTCCAGCAAAAAAAAATCACCGCGCGCTGTAGGTCGTTTTGAAATTCAAACAGACCACCAACACGTGGCGGACAGTCCTTGCTCGAGGCGCTCTAACTGACTTTGGACAGTTCCTCCTAATAAAGTACCTGTAACATTCCAATCTAAGCACAGCCCTCTTTCGTGTTCATGTTTTCGAATTGCATTATCAAGGAATGGGTTCCTGCAAAAAAGCAATAATACATAGTTATTTATGCAACAAGTACAAAAAGTAAGTGTTTATTGCACGCCGAGTTGGACAACACGTCAAGTGCAATCAACACTTATTTGCAGGAGTTTTGATTGATTGATTGATTGTCTTTATTACCCCAAGAAACATTTCTGTTTATGATAGGGATACAAAAATACATATAAAAAAATAATAATAAAGGGTTAACAATATTTTTTCTATGTTCGTACACAAACCAACACATGATATACAGGGTAACTCACGGTCGATGGTACGTTAGACGTTTATGGAGAACGGGACATAGGATCATTCTGAAATGTTGGTTACTCACGTAGTTGCTCTTGGTCACCCTGTATTTTATTGCATTTTCAGATTCTCTCTGAAGAGCTGATTTCATCGATGTATCATACTTGGGGTCTAGCGGAAATGGTTACAGAGATATAGGGTGTGAAAAATCGACATTTTTCAACTTTAGGAATTTTTTTTGTTGAAACTATTCATTATTGGTCAAAACGGCTTACATGTCCCTATCTCAACTTTTGGTTAACTATCTACTGATATTTAATTGGGACATATACCGGGTGATCAAGATTCTGAATTCTGCACCACCCTGTATTTGTTTCAATTAAATGTCAGTAGATAGTTGATCAAAAGTTGAGTCAGTTTGCAGCTTCTCGCTTGCGAGAACTCGCCGCGCTGACAAGTTTGCTCTATGCGACGCGTTGACAGTTTAGAATAAAGCGGATCTGTCTTGATTATGAGGGTCGAGAATTTTTGAAATCGAAAAAATTATAGTAGAATTAAACCCCAAAAAGGGGGAGAATATAACAAAAATTGAAGAAAAAATAAATTGCGGTTGATCTGAGGTCGGGAAGTGGAAGGGTGAGCTTTTTAGGGAGAAAAACGGTTAATCTCGATTTCTGGCAAAACTACAAGTCCTATGGAAAAAAGTTTAATAGCAAAGTTGTAGGCAATGAAAAGATCTATAACTCTTGTGGATACACTTGTTTTAAATATCCTCAAAATGTATGTGAAAAATTCAAACAACCAAGATTTTGGATTTTTATTTCAACTTTTACAAATAAAAATCACGAAATTTGCTGAAAATTTACCTCTTCATGTCTAGATCAGTATACGATAATGACCGTAGATCCGAATCGGATATCTTCGTATATCATGCGACAAAGAAATTTGCTGAAAATTTACCTCTTCATGTCTAGATCTGTATACGATAATGACCATAATGAACTTAGATCCGAATCGGATATCTTCATATATCATGTGACAAGAACCTTTGAAAAAAAAAACTCAACCGTCAACCATCCATTTTGATCTCCAGTTGTTATAAAATCAGAGTTACCGGTATTTTTCCCAAGTAGACAGTGTAGTAAAACAATCTAATTATGGACCTGTTATGTATTGTTCAAACAAAATTACCAATCTCATGTTGGTAAGTATTTCATCACCTGTTTTTTCTACAAGTGTTTTATTTATACCATTTTTTGTAGATTTTTTGATTAAGGAGATAAACATTTCCGAAAGCTCGGCTATGTAAGGAAGAGTTCTCATTTAAGGCCAAAATTTTGAATGCATCCCCAACATGAAGAAATATTGTGATATTTTTTCTATTCTTGATATTATACATATATATATATATATATATATGTAATATATTAAACCATCAGAAAGTAGAGATTTCAAAGAACAAAAAGCCCATCGACTTTTTTGAAAAAGCGAATATTTTGACACAAGAATTTTCAATTGATAATTAGGGTGCCTGTTCAATATTAAGTCAAAATAAGGTGAAAAAAATAATATTTCGAATTATTGAAATTACAGTGTATTTGGGACATGAAGAGGTATCCACCAAATTTCGTGAATTTTTTTATGAAAGATAAAAAAAAAACAAAAACTTGTATATTTGAATTTTTCATATAAATGTTGAGGTTATGTGAAAAAGGTGTGGATATAAAAGAACAGAAACACGTTTTATTGAAATTGATGAAAAGACAATTGAGAAATGAATAGAAAAAAGATTTTTCATGGAAATATTAATGCCCTGTATCTTGAAAACTAAGCAAGTTAGGACACATGTTTATATGAACTTCATTTCCTAAAATATCACAAGGAATCACCCCGGTGTTATTTAGATACACATGTAATTATATTTTAAATAATAATGTATTCAATGAATCCTATTTCAACTCTGTGTGGATGTGGCATGTCAGAAAGTACCTCATAGGAATGGTGGAGGAGCCAAGTTCCTTTTTCATTTATATTATATATTACATTGTCACAAACTTCACTGTGAGACATGAGATAAAAATCTCAATATTGGGAGCTTCCCCATTGCCACTCTCTGCATGGTAACTTTCTTTGTAGAGTGACAATTTATCCCTTTGTGTTTGTTCTGAATACACAAACACCTATTTAGTATCATCACTAATATCACTATTATAAGTTTATTGAATATCTATTATTTGGATAAAACTGTTTCTCAAATAACTGAAATAACAAACTGTTATTGAAATATTGAATAATGTGGGTGACAGATTACTTCATTTCATGATTCATTTTTGTTACAAAACCAACTTGAATTTTTTGCTAAATTAGCAACAAAAAAATCATTCAAAATACAATGTGTCTATAGCTAACAATGATTTTCAAAAATCATGTTTTCAAGCACACTTAGAACAATCCTCTGATATGATGAGTGTTATTTCAGAATTTGCTGTTGATGTAGTTCAATTTCATATAAAAACACCTGTACATGAATCATGGTTATGTTTTATGAAAAATATACTGCTCTAGAATGTGGACCAATAATGTTTAATTGAGATAAAAAGTTTATCTGAATTGCTTGTAGCAATCAGAAATTATTCACTAATGATTATTACTAGAATTTTGTGTGAGTCATTGCAAGTTTCCATGATCATCATAAATTATAATATCTACAAATCAAATCATTTGATCAGCTTTTTTATTCCCTAAATTTGGACACTAAATAAATAAAAAAAATTTCAAGGGGTCAAGTCCTCAGTTAAAGAATTTCATAGTGATTGGAGGGAGAGTAGGATGATAATTTAATTAAAATGAGTAGTATTGCATAATATGGAATTGTGTTTACCTGGCATATCTACTTCTTCATCAGATATATCACATAACTCAGCAAGTGATCTGGCTGTTTTCAGGCTACTAGGAGCTGATGAAATATCCCTCAATCCTTCTTCAGGCTGGTACAAACTAGCCATTGACTTGGATGGTTTCAGAACATTTGTTTCAGATTGATAGCCTTCAAGTTCTAGAGCAGCAATAAGGTCAGGTTGAGATTTTCTTCTCTCATTTCTCAATTCTGTTTCCCTGACTTGGAAATCTAATAACTCCTTGACAATTTTCTCTTCAGCTGGAATGTAACCATTTCTCAATGGTTTTCCTTTTTCCACAGTCAGTTTTGCAGGTTCAAATGAGGCATCACTGTACCAGTTGTTCTGGGAGTCTGTAGATTTCAACAAAGATGAAGACACTTTACCTCTATTCTTGAAAAATTTGTGCATAACTCCTTTAGTATTTGGATTAGGTGTGAATCTCCTAATGGAACCATTTGTGTTAGACACACCATTTGTTTTAATTTCTACTGAATTATTATTATTTTTTATGCAGTCAGGATTAGACATGCTGGAGAACCCATTTTTCAGCTCCTTTTCTCTTCTGATATTTTCTATTATTTCATTTTGAATCAAGTCCAAAGTAGACTTTTTAGAGTTGTTCATATTCAACATAAATATGGTATTTTATGAATAAAAAATGGGTCACCCTAGGAATCTTGGCCTAAAAATTTAGAGGAGATTATACTGTTACTTTCTCTCAACACTATTTTAACTTACCTGTTTTTTTATAGCGGCTCTACTTTGAATAAGAATTTCGAATACTGTAGGTAATTATTTTTCACCATCAGATTTAAACAATATTATTGCTTTGTACTTCAACCACTTTTTGCACTCCCGAAAGCTTTCTTTACACTCCAATTATATGGCATATTGAAATATAAAATACCCAAGACAAAGTTTAGTGAAAAGCAGTATTGTTAGTTTTTTATCGGAAATGGAACGTTTCTGTTATCGTAAATATCTAAAATATGGTAAAGTAAAAATGTAGTTGAAAATTGAAATCCTTGATGACGTCGCATAGGCATAGAATCACAAAATCACAATAGAAATCGTTCTGTTCTGAAAGCTATGACATCTTGGCCGTGGCTATGACATTCACTTGAACAAACCCTAGGACCTTGTAGACCAATCAGAACTATTCTAGCTATCACAGAACATCTTACGAATGCGTAGAATGATATATTTTTTTCATAATTGACGGATATAACTGTCAACTAGCGAACCAGCCTATTTGACAGATACTAAGTGGTAATATGCATACTTGACGGATACTTAGTGATAAGTAGCATACTTGACAGTTACTAAGTGATAATAAGTAGCATACTTGACAGATACTAAGTGGTCACTAGTATACTTGACAGAAACCTAAGTGTCAACAAGTCAACAACTAGCCTACTTGACAGATACTAAAGTGATACGTGAGTGATACGTATACTTGACAGATAGTTAAGTGTCAACTAGTATCTGGCAAGTAGGCTATTTATCACTTAATATCTGTCTATTGGGCTAGTGACTTTCGAGTATCCGTCAAGTATGCTACTTACCACTTAGTATCTGTCATTTAGGCTAATTGACACTTAAGTATCTGTCAAATATACTAGTTAACACTTAGTACCTGTCAAGCATCCTACTAATTACCACTTAGTATCTGTCAAGTATGCTACTTACCACTTAGTATCTGTCAAGTATACTAGTTAACACTCAAGTATCTGTCAAGTTTACTACTTACCACTCAGTATCTGTCAAGTATACTACTTACCATTTAGTATCTGTCAAGTATGCTACTTACCACTTAGTATCTGTCTAGTATGCCACTTAACACTTAGTATCTGTCAACATGCTTGACAGATACTAAGTGTTAACTAGTATAATTGACAGATAATAGGTGGTAAATAGCCTACTTGACAGATACTAAGAGGTAACTATAGTATACTTAACAGGTACTTAAGTGTCAACTAGCATAATTGACAGATACTAAGTGGTAACTAGCCTACTAGACAGATAAATAGAAAATATTTGATTACACATTAAACAATAACTTTATTATTGAGACTTATTATTAGCCGCCTCACCAGCTCACCATGCCACCGGAGACCGAGACTTATTTATTATTATTAGCCGCCTCACCAGCTCACCATGCCACCGGAGACCGGACTAAGATGGAAATTTGAAGATCTTCACTTCTTCTTCTTCGTCTTTGTTTCTTGGTGATGACGCCGATGGCGAGTTTTATGGCCTATCTGTCAATTATGCTAGTTGACGCATCTCAGTTGACACTCAAGTATCTGTCAAGTATACTAGTTACCACTTAGTATCTGTCAAGTAGGCTACTTACCACATAGTATCTGTCAAGTAGGCTACTTACCACATAGTATCTGTCAATTAGCCTAGTTGACAGATATCTGTCAATTATAAAATTATAAATCATGGCGCTTCTAAGCTATTATTGACCCCAACAAAAATTGAAGCAATTTCGAGTGGTAGGTATACTTTTTTATTTCCCATCCTGAATTTTAAGAAATTAGTGCAAACATTCAGGGAACTTGAGTACCAACAGAGAATTCTTATTAATGACATCCGAACTATCTGGAGAACTGCTAGAACTTCTGGATCTGAAGACAATGACTCCAATAACACTTTTAATACATCATTTTCCATTTTACATTAGTTTTCGCCAATTCTAAGCTTCTAATTGAAAAAAATCTAAATCCCCATCAAATCACAAAAAGAAAAATAAATAAAGGAAAAAAACAGTTGTGATGGTCATGTCAAATAAGTGCATTTTTTTTCAACACTGATGACTCCAACTAGATGCACTTGACACTGCTCTTTTGAACATACAAAACAGCAGTGTCAAACACATTTAGGAAGTCTAACTCCAACCATTGTCAACGTAAATGAAAACCTAGTACGAAGGGCGGTAATATTAAAAGCTCTTGCCTACTAACTACCTAACTAGGTTGTCATCTAGAACGACAATGCTGCAACATGGAGAAAAAAATCTAGTCCATATTTAGCAGACAATGACTCCCAACAATTTGATGCATCAGAGTGACGTCACTTCCATCAATGATGAAAATGTGGTGTGAAAAAGAAGGGTGCGTAGCGCGATGCCCAATTCCCACCATGCTCACCTTTATGTCGACAATTACGAAGATTGCCAAGAAGCGCAACGTTGCCAGGCTATGAGGAAAATTCAGAAAACACAAGGTTCCCACCATGCCCACTTTTCATACATTCCCACGATGCCCACCTTCATCATGTTTTTGAATTTTTCTCTTGACCTGGCAACGTTGCGCTCTTTGTCAATCTTCGTAATCGTCGAGATGAAGGTGGGCATCGTTAGGATCAAAGAATAGTAGGTTAGTTGCATCATCAGTTGAACACCTTGTCAAAATAGAGCCTCAACTATGGGAACACTGTACTTTCTTGAAGAAAAAGAGAAGCACCAACAAAATGAAATGCAACATTATTTTCAATATTATTTATTTCTGATAATCCTTAACACTAATGTAACCTAATTGATGTATGTTCAGTTTCAGTAATAAATTAGGAGGGAGTGTTGTATAAGTTATTGCACTGGCGTGGGTCGGGATTGTCGGTTGTTTTGTATCCGCCAGCACGGCACCCCACACGATTCGTGGAATGTAAACACATGAAAACAAGACAATAGGTATATAAATTATAAATATATTATATAAAAACAAACAGGGGCCCCTCTTCGCGAGGTCGCCGCCATCACAATAGCTACCGAGCGCGCCACTAAAAATTCTTCGGTAAAAATTTCCTCTCACTAATTTTTATACAATGCATCACTATCGTAAAATGTCACATGTAAAAAAAATTCAAACAAAGAGCAACAGGTGCGTAGCTATGCCATAGTCTACCATCCACTAGGTAACAATCCGTTAAGTTAAACACAGCCTCGCAAAGCCATAAATACTTTTAAGGTATCCTCGATTTCTTTTTTCACTAAAAATCATATAATATTATGTATACATATATATAGTTAATATACAGATCTCTATGTAACATATTTACAACTTTGTATAATTGATACATTATAAACTTCTTATTTATTTATATGTATTTTCAGGGTATTCTACAAGTATGTACATAATTTGTTGTATACAGGGTAATAACGATTTTGAATTGACGAATTCCAAGGACGGTGGAGTGTTGAGAATTAACCGAAAGTTGGTCAGAGTATCAACTTTTCCTTTAGCTCTTCAAAGCATTGGGGGATGTCAAGAGTGATTCAGTCAAGTTATTGTCAGTGATGTTACCTCCAGGAAATTTGAAGTTACCCAAAATTAACCCTCTATATAAATGCGAGAATGGTTGTTATAGTTCAGAATATTTCAATTCTATAATTCTTTTTTGCTTCCTGGAAATACAAATTATATCATAACATAATCATTTTTACTCAAAAATATCTCTCAATTAATTAATAATAATTCATGGATATGAAAATCAAGAAAAAATAATTGCCACTCAAGAGAAAAATTAAAACATAGTGATTTGTCTGATATCTCACTCAATAGAAATAAAATAATAATGAACAGCATTAAAATAAGTATGACCGTTTCCACCAAATTACTTAAAACAATTCACTGCAAATATAAAAATGAAGACAATTATTGTATCAAAGTTTTCACTTGATAATAAGAAATTACTTTACTTCCTCAATTATTTTCAACATGAGAACATCTTGTTTATGAATCATCAACAAGGAACATTTCGTGAAATATTAGGTTTTGTATAGGGTGATCATAATGATCTGTAAACAGAGCAATGGTGGAATCCTGACATCAACATATAATTGACCAAATATCACTTTAGTTGAATGTGATTGTTGAAATTGGAATATAATTGCAATTATTTTGACATATTAGTTATGATATTGATGTCATTAATTCAATTTTTATTTAAGGACTTTTGATACCTTAATGCACTACCTTTTTTCAACTTCAAACTATTTTTCATGATCAAAACATATTTCGCAGCAATAGTAATATTCTTTCAATCTGAACTAATTGAAATATTTCACTAGAACTGAACTGGATCGTTCTTTCAAATGACGTTCATTATGTACCATGCATGTCAACTGATTCAGTTCAGTTCAAGTGAAATGTGTCAGTTAGTTCAGAATGAAAGAATATCACTATACTAAGCCCGATGACAGTATTTGTGTTGTAACCTCCACTGCTCACATTATTACAATATGAATCATTCATTCAAATTGTTTTCCAAAGTCTAATTTGGACAAGCAACTAGAAATTTCAGAATGTTCAACCACGTTGTGGGAAAAATTGTCCGACTTCTGACAGAATCGCATCTGCCCAAGTCACACTTTTACTTGTATTAGTCATTAAGAGATAAAAGTTGGTCATCTTTTAGTGAATAGTTAATAAAATAATAACTAATTTGAGTGCATAAATGATGGCACGGGAATACCAACGTTTAACTTATTAGTGAAATCGTTAATGATTGTGAAATTCCAGATTAATGGAAAAGCTGCGGTCATATATCCCCTTTTACACCACAAGACGGCGCTCCATAAGCTTATGGAGATGATTTTTCAACTAACATTATATTGAGATCATATTTGGCCAATGTCAGTATTCTACCACTGCTGTGTTTATATTATTATAAATCACCCTGCTTAGAAACTATATCTGACACCACTTAAAAATAGCAATCTTATGATTCAGAGTTCTGTAATACTCGTGAATAGTGAGAACTAAGGTGCCTTGATGTTAATTAAACCCTGCATGCTGAGAGCAGACTATAAAAATGTTATCCTTTCTCGCCATTAGAATCTCGTGAGATCCATCAAATCAAAAATATTTTTATTCTTAGATGCCGATCATCTATGTCTAGAGAACTTCAACCTTCCATCAGACAAAAAATCAATCAGAACCCGCTCTCGACACCCCCCAGCGCTCTACTACCGCCACGACCACGCCCCCAAATCCTCAACTCCCCACCCATCCATCGGCCCCGCCCCTCTGTCGATCTGACACGCCTCGCACGCGATTCTGTCACGCCCCGTCGCAGATGCGCTCGCGTAAACACGCCCCTCACTCCGACACCAATCACCTGCCGTCGTCCGGACAGCCGCGACGCCACTAGAGCTGCTCGACGAACTTGCTGAGCTGGTCCTGCGGCGTCATGGGCGGCGCCTCGTTGCCGACGCCGCCCTCCTGGGCGGAGGCGGCGCCGGCCGGCGAGGCGTGCGGATGGAGGGCGCCCGCATGGTTCTGGCCGCCTAAGAGAATCTCGGAGGCGGCGAGGTCGTGCGGCGAGGGCTGGGGGCCGCGCGGGCTCGGCACCGTCTGGTTGCGCGGGCTGGGAGCGGGACGAGGACTAGGTTGCGGGCTTCTGGAAAACAGAGAGAACATGTTTGTTGATATCATCAGTCCACACTGTGGATCGTACAATACTTTTAGGCACGTATTTATAGTCGCTCCTTAAGGTGACCTCGTCCCTTAAGGCTTCCTTAAGGACCAGTTTCCAATTTATAGTCGTGATATGAGCTCTAAGGAAGCCTCAAGGAAATGTCAATTCCAAGGAAGGTATAGAGATAGCTTGAGCATTCCTTGATTCAAATGGAATGATGAAATTTGAATGTAGTAATCAAATGAATATTCAAATCTTGAAATTTGTACATCAGAGAATCTGATTCGAGTATATTGATTTCCAGTAGAAGCTGATTCAAGTTTCGTTGAAAAGTAAATCGTTTTTTATTTCGAATAATATGTATATATTACAAATAATGGAAACTACATATTTTCATTACATATAGGTAGGTATCATCTTGATGATTTGTTCGTGAAATTGAAATACATACATTTTCAATGAACAACCACACCAAATCACAGACACATTCGAAGTATTCAATCAAATGGATATTCTTCCTCTCCCCGGCATATTATTTCATTGCAGCTCGAAATAATCCGTTTTTAATGGAGTAAACATTTTTGTATTGTAAATTTCCAACATCAACATCCATAAACTCTTCGACCCCTTCTTCATTTTGCGGAAACTTGGATATATTTTGTCTATGATCGAAGTAATATGCTGTTAGGCCCAATTTGAACCAACCTTTGAAGATTATTATTTATTACTGAATTATTAAAATCTTTCGATGTGTGGTCCACACTTCACAATAAACAATTAACATTTTGTAATTTGACATTTTACATTTTGTGATAAACACGTGACATGAAAGAACAAATTTGGTCACAGAACACTAAAATTATACACTGTTGCCAAGTGTGAGGGCTCCTTCTAGAAGGAATACTCAAGGAAGGTATATAGAACCAGTTTAACGTCAAGTGCTGAGGAGTCCTCAAGGAATTCTCAGATAAGGAAGACTTGAGGAGTTCTTGAGGAAACGACTATAAATACGGGCTTTAGAGAACTTGGATTCAATGGCACTGTGAGAAATGTTTTGAATTCATATCTTGATTATAATTCACTATGTAAGTCAACTTTTTCGTCTTCTCTCTAAGACTATGCTTGAATACCTAATCTCGTTTTCAAACATATTTTCAAGTATACCGTAGTAAGTGTCCCAGTATACCTGTTCCGATGAATTATCTCAGCCATTTCGAAAAATAAAAATTCGAAAATTTAATGATCTCCAATTCGTTTAAGGAAGCTTCAACTGAGAAGAACAAGCATTGAAAGTCACTTCTGGTTTGACCGGAAATGACTCTAACTTTTTTATTTCAAATAGCACCCTGTATATTTTTTGCAATATTTGATTTCTACTCAAAATTACCGTTCCAACGATGTATCACACTTCCTATTTTAAATTTGATTTGATGGAGAAAACGACAATTGAAATTTCAAATTCAACGAATTGCAGTAGTACGAATTTCGTATTATTAGAATTGTAGTAGATCATGTAATTTTCAAATTTTCATCTCTCGAAATGACTGAGATAATCTATTGGAACAGGTATACTGGGACAACCGGTATATTTTTTGAATTTTCATTTAGACTAAGAACTGGAACTGAAATTCATTGTATTTTATATGAAAAATTGTAAAACCACTAGTTGTTATGTGAACAAACTATTGGTACACACACAAATTGAAAAAATGTATAGTGTACCACCATGGAAATGTAAAACGAACTGTTCAACTTAATAATATATAAAATTTCAATTTTCAAATAGGACAGTCAGTACGAAATCTACCAATTCAGTGTCCTATTATTCCACTCGCCTATTGCACCAACTGAAAAGTTACAAAGTGTTGAAAAGGCTCACCTAATGGGCGGTGGACTCCTGACGCTCTGCATCAACTGTTGCTGCTGAACGGTCATGCCCTGAGGGGGGCCCATCACGCCCTGCGGCGAAGGCACCGGAGAAGGGGTCGGCTTCAGGCCCTGCATGGGTTGGTATTGCTGGTCGGCGAAAGAGTTGTTATAGCCCAGGTGCGGTTGTCTTATACCTTACGCAAAAAAAGAGTAACTTATAAAATGTGCTGAATGATTACTGAGATCTATAGTTTCCAGTTGAGAATGAAGTGTGTGTTGAGCACTGTTTGACCTTGCTTTGGACTATCAATGATTATACAGGCTGTTTCAAAATTTGACCGACAACGCTTGACAGGTGGTAACTTTTCTTCCGATAGTTTCTACGCCACTGATGGAATTTCGATTATTTTTGATATCTCGAATTCCTTGTTTATATTGTTCAAAAAATAAGTAATAAATGTACATATATGTACTAATGATATGTATAAACGAGAAAAGGACAATACATTCGATTCAGATCAAATTTATTTTTTTCTATACCTGTTATAACAGTCTGTCTCTTAAGTTTGATTTTTTTATTCGTTTTGTATTATTGATGTTCATTTTAACTATTCGTTTTTTTTTATATACTCTAATCTTATGAGTACCTATGTAACTGTATTTTGTGATATTTTTAAGAATTTTTGAATTGAGGATTAGGAATATGATTATTTTTGCATGGGAATGTTTGTTTTTGTTTTGTTTGTTTGTAACTGCAATAATTCATAGTCATCCGATTAGTTTCATATTGTCAGCCATTATTAGACCACTAACCACAACACCAAAATACTTCAACCTCAATTTCGACCTTAAATTATTTTTTGTTATTCATTAGAAAATAGTTTATCAATTTTGTATTCTTCAAACTACATTTTTGATATTAGCTACACAAATATGTAATAGTTCATGGTAAACTCTGCACTTTGAATTCGGAGGGTTTGTTCATCTGAATCTACTAGTCAGTTATCTTTCCTCTGTACGTCAATTTGATTTTGTTTCTTTTGCAAAGATACAGTGTGGTGCAAAATCGAATTCACTATGAAGAGTTGTCATAACTGTGTCATCAGGTTATTCAAGTTATTTTCGTAGACATCCTGCTTGATCTGAAAATCAATTATCATACTCATTCCTATATTAATTCGCCATTTTCATTCGTATACGAATTGAGTTCAGATACACTCCCTGCTAGACTCATTTAATGGGACTATCCCAAAGGTTTTTTAATTGAACCAGAAACTTTTGGAGCAATGATACCAAGATCCAGAAAAATGCAAGCATACCACATGAATTGTTGATATTTTGAAAATTCAAATAAAAATTCACAATCATTCCCGATATTTTTTCACATGTTAAAATCTGACATTTTTAGCAATTTCAACCAATGACAATGCAACTTATATTACATTTGATAAATTTGGAGGAAAGTCACATGTTACAGTTACATCAGATGGCCGACAATTTGACGTAAAAATATGACATCACTAACACTGCTTTATTGGGACACAAAAGGAGAGTTCTTTATTGTTGAATGGTTGCAACTACTTTGGACAACACTTCGACCGCACGATTTTTGATTGAAGACGACATTGCTCGAATTTCAAATGGTAAATTTTTTTTATTGAAGACCAAGACCGACCGATCCAGGACCAAATCGCCTGGGCTTTTTGATGGTCGATGCGGCTCAATGACATAAATAATAAGCTCAAAACAATTATTAAATCACTCAAAAAAATGGCAAGGGAACCTACAGTCTTCAAAATGAGTGACTGAACTGCTTATATTTCAACAAAAAATAGCATAACATTACTGAATGATTCACTTGAGTGTATTATTTTTTTGGTATACAGTTCAAAGTAATTGTTCCTTACACAATATCTTCCTGTAATAATAATAGAGATGATTCCAAATATATCTGATTTTTAGGATGTCAGGATATGTATTATTTTCGGTATATTATCAATTGATCAGTGAAGTTTACCATTTTTCAGATTTTTGTATACAAACAACCAGTAGAAACCATTCGTATTTGTATTTCATGGTGATGTTACTAAAGACCGGTCGACAACCAAAAACTCTGAGGGCCGGTTGCATAAAGAAAAATTAATCATACAGTCAACCGATGCCACATTAACTTTGATGTTATGGTAAATGTCATTTGCGTTGCAACAGCGCTAATCTGTCTGCTCCTTGCGTGCCGCGCATTATTGATACGCATTTTAGGTTAGGTTTATCCGCTTGATTTTCAGTCAGATTGACAGAAGTTACAGAAGAAAATAATGGATAATTCGAAGAAAAAACGAGGGTCAAATTAATGGAGATTGTTAAAAAGTAAGTTTTGCATAATACCTAGGTATGATTTTAATATTTTAATGGATATCTTTCGTTCAAAACTCATGAAGCTATTATATTCATCTTGTCTACAGGTATAAAACTATTATGGAATACAAACAATCGGATGCGATATTAAGACATATCGCAAACAAGATCCATTGATAAAAATCCAGAATCCAATTCCATTACAACTGGTTTATAAAACCTGATTCGGGTATTGAAATCATTGTCATCATACATTTCAAAAGAATTGGTTCTATTTCGAAAGGTTCTTGGCCTGGGAATCAGTAGTTCTTCTTCAAATAGTGAAGACAATGATGAGATAGGTATTTTCTGTAATATAATAGTCATTTACCTACATTCTACCCTACCTTTTTGAAATGAAACAAGAACCAAGAACTCCAACCTTTTTTTTCAGATTCTGCAAAAATTCTGCGATATATTCAAAATAATTTGGCGGAACTTTCACAAGTCATTTTCTGGTTGTCACTTTAATCAGTGGTCGAGCACTGATTAAGTTGATGCCAGGAATAAGTCGATTTGATGTGACATCTAAAGCTGATTGGCCTTTGTGCAACCGATTTTTTAGTTAAATAGTCAGTGCTGGTTGCATAAAACATTCTGTTAGCTTAATGAGGAATCAACTCTTCTTACTCATCAGCTAAGGTAGACCTTGCTATGGATACAAACAAATCAAATATTTAATTGTCTGTTAGATGCTTTATGCAACCGGCCCTCATTATTATAAGTTAATCAGATGATCAAGTAACCATGCCATTAAGTACAGGATGGGCCTTTCATGCAACCGAATTCCATTTATAACGTCGCATCAAATATTTTAAGTGACATCAAATAATTGATGAGCTTTTATGCAACCGGCCCTTAGTCTGAAAACACTACAACACCACTCACCTGGCAACCTCTGCTGATACGTCGGACAAGCTCCCGGCTGTTGAAACCCCTGCTGCTGCTGCTGTTGTTGCTGCTGCTGCTGGACCTGTTGCTGCCGCTGCATCACCATCATCTGCTGATGCTTGAACCACTGCTGCTGCGTCATCTGCTGGCTCTGGTTCATGCCTTGGGGGGCGACAGGCCCGCCCGGCTGGCTCATCATGCCGCCCCCGGCACCCTGCAGCTGCATGCGCGTCTGCTGCTGCTGGTGCTGCTGCTGTTGCTGCGCGTTCGGCTGCTGGTTGAGGATGTGCTGCAGCTGCTGCTGGGGCGCGGCCGCCACTCCCGCGCCGCCCGCCTGCTGGATTTGCTGCGCCTGCTGGCGGAAATTTAACAAGATTTGAGCATCGATTTACGAAAAGTTTGGGAGTCGAATCGCGATCGGGAGTTATCATTCATGAAGCGAGTTCCTATTGAAGTGTTCCGTCTAGAACAACGGCTATGTTCATTTGCTCACAAAATAAAAATGTACCGATTCTAGATAATATTTGTCCTAGAGTGCCTCAAACATCTCATTTTATGTTCTTAATGAGTGTGAACACGCTTTTCATCATCATCAGATTTGGAACGTCAGTTCTGAAAATTGAATAGGCGTCCCCGCGAAAATGTTTTCGAGTAAGTCTTATTCGGTAACGAATTACAAAAATTTTAAGAGAACTACATTTGAGTTGCCCAAAGGCGAGAAGGCATTTCAAGTGTTCGATAAAGATTCAAATTCCAATATGCATTTCATAGAAATACATTCAATGATGTAATATTGATATAAGTACAAAACATGCTTCATGTGCCTTTGGTGTTACGCCACTGTTAGGGTTTCAAATAATATGTCTGCACTCGTTCAATGAAGGGGTACAGAAAAATGACATTCTTCCACCTCTTATCAAACATATTCGTGTCTCATGTTTTACGTTCAACTATTTAACAACATGACAAGTGTGACCACACTGTTTGAAGGATGTAAAATGAGATGTTCGAGGCACTCTTATTTGTCAGATTTTTGTAATTCTGGCTAAACAGGGTAATCCCGTACAGTATCTACAGGGTTTATTTACTGAACTCCAAATTGAGAGAACTATATGGTTTGTTCTGAATCATCAGAAAATTTTACAAGATCAATATATTTCCGAAAAAATTTACACATCTTTGGATGTTTTGGAAACGAATCTGCTCCCGTTTTTAACAAAAAAATTGAAAAAAAAATTCTTTACAAATTGTTATTTCGATTGATATTTTTCATAATCAAGCAGCCCAAGAGATGATGTACATTACTTTTTCTACTCCTGTATTACAAATACGCGAATTAAATATCTGCTACCGATTTTTTAATATCGTCGATTTTAACACGAATTTTCATTATGTTACAGATTTTGGCCAATGAAACACGTACTTTCATTATGATACGGATAGTCGACCTATATAAACACGTACTTGCGAATAATCAAGTGATTCTGTTGCTTGCGTTGTTCATTCAATTTCAATTGAGATTTGATAACAACGCGTCAACGCGTCAAAAGTACAGGCAGATTTATTATTAATTGGTCGTAGAAAAATTAGTGCATGAAACGATCATGTAATGGCTATTAATACACGAGCACGAGGTAACTCACGATACGAGCCGAAGGCGAGTGTTGTAAACCGTACATAATAGTTATTCATGTACCAAGGACGAAACACTGTCTATTATAGTCGAGTCTGCAAATTGATGACTAAGTCTAGCAATCAGGCAAGACAATATACAGTTTTTCGCCGAGGTGCATATTACATTTTTTGTCGACCTCAAACACTTATATTCACATCACAGTCCTATTCACATGTGAAATCTATCGGATTTCGTGAATAATTAATTTGACAACAGCAAATGACAATTGTCAATTAACTCTCCGCGCGGACCAGGGTTGCCAGTTCGATTTTTATTCCATCAGTAAATACCTTGTCAAAAATTCAGTAGATTTTGATAGATCTGTTTAATGCTATACGAATTCCAAGAAAGAATAATGAAATAAACCTATGACGTCAAAACATTATGTACTTTTTGTAAACAGGAAGGTAACCTATTTTCAAAAAAATAAAAACAAACGAAATAAACTTTGTCATACAAAAATAATCAAATTCCCAACTCTAAACTCAAAAGTATTCGCAAATATCACAAAATACAGTTACATAGGTACTTATAAGATTTGAGTATATAAAAAACAGAAACAAAAAGTGAAAATGAACAACAAAAATATAGAACAAATAAAAAAATTAAACATAAGAAACAAACTGTTATATAACAGAACTATATAGAAAATTGAATTTGATCTGATGAATCAGATAAAAATATTGTCCTTTTTTGGATGATACATACCATTAGTACCTATATATTGTTCTTTATTGCTAATATTTTTCAGTAGATTATGAAATGTTTCAGATCAATATGCAAATCAGGAAATCTACTGAAAATTCAGTAGAACTGGCAACCATGCAGCGGACGAAGTGTTTGCGGTCGAAAATTACATGACTTCGGAAATAGTCGGTTTTTCTTTCGAAAATTAAAACGTAAAATGTGATTTTTTGTAGAGGTAGACGAAAAAACTCATACCCAATCAAGGGGTTCAAACTTGTACGATGGAAATTTGTTATTTCACAGACCTCTTATCACAGATTTGTCATTGGGATTTCTCAATCCAAAATTTCTTTCAACGCCCTATATGATGAATACCAATTTGTCATACATCAAAACAATATGATATTGTAGTTTTTCTAGACTATCTAGACACCTTTGACTGTCACTTGCGTGATTCGTATTTAGACATTTCACATATCTTTTCATTGAACATCAGTGTGCTAAAACTCATTGTCTGCCCTTGTGACACAATATACTAAAATACAATATGCTAGAAGAATGTTATAAATTTATTGAAGCGACAAAGTTTTACTACTTCTGTGATAATTCAATAAATATCTATCATGGGGACACCTCAAAAGATGATAATTACAGTTGAAGAAAAAAATCGGAAATTTCCAAATTTACAAGATATAGAAGAATACTGGAATTCTTCTTCAAGAGAATAAATATTTCTCGTCTGTTATAACATAAACTTTCCATGAATTTTCTTACGGAAATGCCAGTTTTGCCGTCTGTCCTTTTATCTCGATCAATCACCAACTCAATTTGAAGATGGCGGAAATACCAAAACACAACAAACACCTAATCGACACTTGATGTGTGGAGTAGTATAATTGGAAACGATCCGTTACTAATCATTTCCAAATATCAGACTGCAATTTTGAAAAAATAGTCTATGAATTCAGAAATGAGGCGGATAGTAAAACTGACATTCTTATGAGAAAGCATGGGTCTGCTAATTTTGAAAATATATGACTAAACTTAAATAGCCCTCAAGTAAAGTGACTTTTTCCCATTTATCCAAAATTGTATTACCGATTTTGTTATTCCCATGATAGGTAGATATGTATTGAGATATTTCAAATTTCTACCGAATTTTGTCTTTGTTATCAACTATGAAATATTCTAGACTTAGGAATTTGACAAAGGGGAGTTTCTAGTGAAAGGAAGGAAGAATAGGATTCAGGAAGATTCAAAACTTTCAAAAAGGTTTACCTTACTTCACAGGATAATGTTCATCAGGAATTCGGAAATTACAGGTCTATTGGGACAAAAATTAGGAACTTGCTGTATAGACATTCTGGATAAAACTTATACTCCACTACCCTGAAACAATTTAAAATGGAAATCGTGCAGAATATCAACTACCATCAGTGTTAACAAACTGCACTTATTCTTCTATATAGTGCTATAGACTAAAGAGTATCATAGGTACTAGGTACAGGAAAATGTCCTTCCTACATTGGAAAAAGAGCAGGATGTTATAAAGATTTTTGTATAAAATATTTTTTGTTGCGTTTTCTGCATTTAATCTAAATTTGATATTTTTAAAAATGAATTAATTCAAAAAAGTCCCAATTAATTCAAAAGGTCGAAACTGATTGACTTGTTTTATAAAAGTCATGAATTATTCCTACCCTGCTAATATTAAGAAGATGAAATTTCAACGAAATTATGTATTGAATAGAGGGTATTTCAGAGTTGAAATGACAAGAGCCTAGGGAATATTTCACCTGAACATGGGTTCGAAAATGCTCAATTTCTTAGATAGATACAAGGTGTTGAGTTTCTTCATAAAATTGAGTTTTTTATCAATCTTATCCGATAATCATGAAATTCTAAAGGTTTTCTTTTTGAATCAACAGACATTCACTGGACCAATTAGATTTGATTCAGACTTTCCAGGGGCTTACCCAGCGCGCAAGTCGGCTGTGCAGAAATAATATCACTCTGTAGATTTTTATCAACGAATCAGATGAACCTATTGAAATACAATAATTTTGTCTTCTGATTTTTGTCAGTGTCTTGCTTCAATTTCGAGAAAAAAATTACAATGTAGGAGTAATCGAAAAATGTATCGCACTGTAGATATTTATTTATGACAACAAAGAGAAAAACATAAGATTAAGTTGTCATTAAAAGTCAAAGGCACTTTTTAGTATCGAATATACCATCGAAAATATGAAAAACTGGGTTCGCCGATATTCAGTATGACTGGAAAAGTATGAAATAAATAGAAAACTTTTTTATTATTAATTGTTGGAAAAATAGTAGTTGCTCAGAAAGAATCAATCAATCAATCAATCAAAAATATACTTTATTGTCAAAGAAAAAATTTCTTATCGACAAAGATAATTCATACATATTCATTTAGAGTCTTATAATAAATAAGACACGTCACGAAAGATAAAAACAGTGTGAAGTAAAGAAACACACATATAAACATAAAATTAATACAAACATAATTAAAATAATATATCACGACAATGTATATGGTCAAATAAAACATATGTATAATTATAATATATCTATCTATATCTATATATACATAAAATCAAGACTTGAATCAAGATGTCTCATCAAATTAAAAACTATCGCGTACTCTCAGTTAAGATCGTTATCGTTGAAGAATTCCTGGAGATTATAATATGCTTTTTTCATTAATATTTCTTTCACAGCCTGTCTAAATTTACTGAGTAGAGGAATAGTTCTTATGGCTAATGGTAAATGGTTATACATCTTTCTGCTATTGTAGATGATCGAATGCTTCGTGAGATTAGAATTTGGGATAGGCAGGTTCAAGTGGGATGTATTCCTGGTGTTATAACGTGCTTCAGTGCTTACGTTTTCAGAATATTTTTTGTGTATCAGACAAACAGTTTCGTGGATGAAGATAGATGGTAATGTGAGAATGTTATGAGCCTGAAACAAGGGCTTGCAGTGATCGCGAAATTTTCCTTTACACATGTATCGTATAGCCCTTTTTTGTAGTACGAATATAGAATTAAATAATTGCTGGTTACAAACTCCCCAGAAAGTGACCCCATACCGTAAATGCGATTCCACCAGCGCAAAATATACCATTCTTGCAACAGCAACACCTAACTCATTTGCAACTACTCTAACAGCGAAGCATCCCGATGCTAGTTTTTTACTCAGGTTTATCACATGGCTATCAAATTTCAATCTGTCATCAATATGTAGCCCAAGAAATTTACAGTTAGGTTTACTTTCGATAATAACCTGTGGACACAGGACTCATATCACCATAGCAATGCACAAGTGAAAACGAACAGTGTGGCAATATTTCCGCACGCTCACGTGATCTTCGTTTGGTCTATATAATGTATGGATGATTATTTTCTTCCTGATTTTAAAACAATCAGAACGTTGAATCGAGCTAAGCTACCTTGTAAAATTTTCAAAACACAATTATTAACATTCCAATTTAAATTTTAAAATTAGTGATAATATACCTTCACATTCAACTAGACAAACAGACATGTTTTCCATCATTAACATCATGTCTGATTTTAGCTAGAGATCTATATATTTTTTTCGAACTGGTGCGGTAAATTGACTTTCAACACTGAAAGGAGTGTGGATAAATGAACTTTTCCGCACTTTAGTAGAAAAAAGTAATTCTTTATAAAAAGTTCTGCACGGACTAGAGCCAAGACTGCAGATATAAAATTTAAAATTTTTTCAGTCGTGTACGAAGTATGTCAAAAAATATTAATTTTGCCTACTTATTTTAAACAATATCGAGTTATTATTGAGAAAAGTTGACTGTTCAAATATCTAATTAAATCTATCTATGATGAAAATAAGTATATTTTTCTGTGACGGGAAAAACATTTTACATTTCATCTCTGTTGACAGGTTATAAAATGTAACTTTTCATAAATTACTTTTTTCTCACGGGATGATTTTCTGACTTCATTATAATGTAATATGTTCTCAATAGTGTATTATCAGGGAAAATATTAGATTTTGGCTCACGATTTTTTGTCTACCAACGCGTAGCGGAACACAACCTAAAGCTGAAATCTACTACTTTCTTTCATTGTATAAAAAATAACTATTTTTCCTACGAGCGCGCAATTTTACGTTTTGAAAGTTGTTCTCTTCTGTACGATTTTACTTTTCCGCATCATTTTTACTTTTCAGCACAATTTTTTACTTTACCGCACGATAAATGAATGAAATGAATTGAGTAGAGTAATGGAAGAAATGGATAATTATGGACTGATCACATACATTAGTACTTTCATGGGTGATGGCTGATGGCTGCACTAATTGTAAACTTCAGTATACAGGTGCAAATCAATGGAAAATATGTGATTTTTCCATAATTTGAAAGATCAATTTATGGACAAGGATCAGAAAGACCTGATAAAGACGTTTCAAAGACGCACGTTATTTTATTGAAAAATGTACGTCTTAAAAGACGTCTAAAAGAATTACTTTGGCTGATTGGGTTGAAGTAGCCCAATTGAAATAAATTAGGTTAACTGACTGTTTGAATATAATACGAAAACATTTTAAATGCCATGGCAATCACAAAACACTATAGACTGAGGCTATCAAGATGAATCGATAAAATTGTTAAAAAGTTACTTTTCCACACGATTTTTATATTGTTGAAAGCGAGGATAAGTACTACTTTACGCATTTGTTATGTAAATAAATTTATAGAGATAAATCAATGAATAAAAAAACAAAAGAAGCCTCTTTTGTATAGGGTGTAAGCACTTTCTATGCCATTACTCAATTAACACACAGGGTGAGTCAAAAATTAAGAATACATCATGGTTTGAGTTATTCCACCACCAAAAATGTGCACCAGAATTAACACCGATTCTCTGCAAGTTGTTTACCATCTCGTACAGGTCGGGTATTTTTCCATCATGCTGGAAGACAGCTAGAGTCCAACCAATCCCCAAAAAAGGGAACAAGAACCTGCCCAACAACTACAGGCCCATTGCCCTGTTATCAGTAATCTCCAAAGTGATGGAGAAAGCCATCAATATTGAGCTTATCAAATATCTGGAGAGCTCAGGAATCATCAATGATAGACAATACGGCTTTCGCCACCGAAGATCTACTGGAGATCTACTTGCCTACGTCACCCATGTATGGCAATCTTCAATAGAAAAACACGGGGAATCTCTAGCTGTCGCGTTGGACATATCGAAAGCATTCGACCGTGTTTGGCACGAAGGACTCCTCCACAAACTACCATCATACGGCTTACCACCTCAGCTATGCCATCTCTTATCGAGTTTTCTTTCAGGTAGATCGCTTCACGTGGTGGTGGACGGTGTATCGTCTGATACCATTGGCATCAATTCCGGCGTTCCACAAGGATCAATTTTGGCACCAACATTATTCCTTCTTCATATCAATGATCTGTTGGGAGTAACAACTTGCCCCATCCACAGCTTTGCTGATGATAGTACCCTCCATACTGCGTTCTCTTCCAGAATTCCCATTTCTTCCCAGGAAACTAAGGACTCACGGCGCAGGCAGGTCAATGCTGTCAATGAAGATCTTGCTGAAATCACAGCCTGGGGAACAAACAACCTAGTTGAATTCAACGCCACCAAAACTCAAGCCTGCATTTTCTCTAGAAAGGCGGAACTCAGTATGCCCGATATTGTTATGTCTGGCTCCACCATCCCCACCAAGCCCACCATATCTATGCTCGGTATTTCCATCAGCAACACTCTTTCATGGTATAATCATGTCAGATCCATCGCAAAAGCTGCTTCACAAAAACTCGGATTCTTGTTCCGTGCGAAAAGCTACTTTACACCTCAACAGCTTCTCATGATCTACAAAGCGCAGATACGGCCTGTTCTAGAATACTGTTCGAGAAGAGCTATTCGCCTGGTGGGTGACGCCACACTCACTCACTCTTTGACATCATTGGAACACCGTAGAAAGGTCGGAGACCTTTCACTTTTCTATCGATACTTCCACGGGAAATGTTCTTCGGAAATCTCTGCTATCATCCCTTCACTAGCAATACCAATCAGACGAACTAGACAAGCCCAGTCAGCACATCCTTTCGTTGTCAACCTCGAAAGATGTCGAACAGCACTTTATCAAGACTCCTTCATCCATAGAACGGCTAGGCTCTGGAATTCATTGCCTGTGGAAGTATTCCCAACAACATATAATCTCCAAAAGTTCAAAAAAAATTCCAATACCTACCTCCTATCCCTATCCTCCCTAGGAACGCACGATGTTCTTTGAACATTATAGGGATTCCCTTTCGTGCGCTCCAAGCGATAAAAAAAAAATCAAGGCTTTAAAAAAATTTTCACCTCTTAATTTTTTTTTTTAAGAAAAATGCATTACCTACAACAAATGAAAAAAAAAATAAAAATTGGCCTATTTTTTTTTCAAGAAGATAGGTCAAATATCAAGAGCGTCACTTTTCTTGGAACTGAGTTACTCAAATTCTCAAAATTTCCAAATTATACTCATTATGGCAATGGATGTCTTGAATGTACCAAAGTTAGAATTTTGATTCATATTAGGTCGTTTCTCCCTGAAAACTAAACAAGATACGAAAAAGATATAGTAAAATCAGATAAAGATATTAAACTTTGGATAAATCATGAATCACAATGATTTTTACATAACAGTCAGGTCACCCTCCGGAGCGCCACTGAAATAATCACAGTGAATATCTAGTTAAGCCAGAAAATGTTTTGAATTACAGAGAAACTTGCTTAGTTCAGAGAAAATCAGATGAGGAGTTTTCGAGTTATGAATAAAAAACAATTTTTTTCACAATACTTCAACACCTTGTATCCTCGGAGAGGATCATATTTTCTCAACTTTGGCAATACTGTCCCTATGAAATCGGCAGGACCCTATATTCACGAACCCCAATGATATTGTGACTTTTGCAAAAATACTACGACTCCACACCATTCCCCCTCCTACTCACCTGTCGCTGCTTGATAAACGCCGCCATCAGCTGCGGATTCGACTTGAGTATCTGCAAGATCTGCTGCTGCTGCTCGGCCGATTGCGGCGACCGCAGCGTCTGCATCAGCTGCTGCAGCGCCTGCTTCTGCATCATGTTGCCGCCGGGCGGGGCGCCGATCGGCCCGCCGCCTCCCGGCCGCGGAGGTGCCGCCCCCTGGCCCTGGCCGGGCTGCATCTGCGGCAAAGGCCCCGCCTGCTGGCCCATTTGGCCGCCGGGCTGCATCTGGACGACGGGTCCGGGCGCCGGTTGGCGCAGACCGACGCCGCCGGGAGTGACGACGCCCGGGTAGCGCTGTTGCCATTGTTCCATCGGCAGGAGGTTGCCGCCTGAGGATAATTACGAATTTTTCGAGCATAAGAATGGGGTTCTTGATTATCTTCGATGACATGACGAGGGTCAAACTGGAGTACCTCGTAAGTGACAAAATTCAAATTTAAGAGCGACAAAAAACTGTCACATTGATTGGGACAAAGTATAATCATTGAACTTTTTGAATGATATTTCTTGGAAATATACTCTCCACAAATATGTCGACATTAATAGCATAATCAAAATTAACAAAAAAAAATCGCGTTATTTACGAGGTACTGTTTTCTCGTAAAAAGAGTTGGATATGAAAACATGAGATGAAAAATTTCCGTCCGAGAATAAGTCATCTAGGTTGCATTGTTGTGCAACTTACTTAATTTTTTCGTTCGTTCAGATGCCATTTAGAAGATAATTATTATTTACTTTGAGCAGAAACGCGTTACTACCGCTGGAAGAATAATTATTTCAACACGCAGGACTCCTCATATGTAAAAACTGGAAATAATACCTATAATAATTATTCAGGAATAATCTTTCCATACAGGAACATTATTTCAAAGATATCATAATAGTTACTCAAACTGATCCCATGAAGACAAGAATGAAGCATTAGGAAATCTTCCTACCTTTAGAACAGAAATTCAGTTTGAGAACAGCACACAACATGTTACGGCGGCATTGACGAATACTGCTTCAGAATCTCGAGTTAAAAAACATACGAGGCAATTTTTTTCGATATTTATGCAGAAACCACGCGAAAAACTGCAGCCTAACTCACCCGAAAGATGGAGGTAGATGTTCTGAAGCACTTTCAATTAAGAACGTGATTTTCATAAAAATGTCAGTTACGAGGTTCTGCGGTTTGGCCCTCGATGAAGTCATTAGTTGCGTTTTATTTGTTCGATTCTGGTAGCGGTGGTGGAAACAGAATGACGTTTACGAATGAAACGAGAAACTCCATGAACTTGCAATCTTCCATAGCCGCTTTCCAAATGAAAATTCGGTACCCCTGAAATGAACCGGTACTAACCTACACTTGAACTCCAGGATATTGTAATTGGAACATAATTTTTATCCGAGTATTTTATTGACGGATTAGGCTAGAAATTTTAATTTGAATTTATGATTGTAGTATTTTCATGATGGAAAAACTTGTGGATTATATGATTTTGGTATGTGTAATGTCTCATCTCGCGTATTGCATACTAAATAATCCACAGGAAATGATGCTGAGGCAAATTGAAACACTATAGAGTAGGTATTGGAAATTCTGATGATGAGGCTGAAGTGGAATTACAATAAAAAGAATTCGTGCTTTAAGCTTTAAGGTAGTCCTTCGCTGGTCCTCCTGGTCCAAATATACTCTTTACACTGTACTCCGTTTTCGGGATCATCTAGGTATTTCTCAAAGATATATTCCACTCAATGTTTGTATTTGACAGGGTAAAACAGATACACCAGTTATTAATGATAAAAAGGTCGTTAATTTAATTGCTGTTTTCTACTAACATCTAATGAATAATACTATCCTTTTCAACAAAACCAGAAATAATCATTACAAACATTCATTTGACGCGTTCGACAGACGCTTTTTTGCTTTGACATATACCTGACCATTTTTGAGTTTGTTACCCGATTGTAAAAGCTGGTGCTTGAGGGGAAGGGGGTAAGTAGCATTGATCAGTTCGAGTGCGCCAAGCTCTTTATAATGGGAACGCTGTTGATCAGTTCAAGATCTGCTCGGAGTTACTCGGTGCTACTCGCTGTGATAATTGGAAAGCATGAGAAAAATTGACAAATTATGGGTTGCGTGCAAGAAATGCCAGATGACCGACCCTGGAGGTGAAACATTGAAACACAACCTCACTTTTCTTATTTGTTTACAAGTGATTGAAATAGTTTTTCACAATTATTTTGGCGTGTTTTTCGGCTATTGATTAATTCGCGCATGCCATCACATTGTGCTGTTGTACCGAGTGATGAGGTACTGTATCTCAGAAACTAATAGTCCTAGAAGTTTGAGGAAAAAATCCTTCAGAGGAAATCGACCAAGAGAGATTGCTGGAAATATTTTCATCATTAATATTTTGATTTAAATCAAAATGGGAACGACTTATCAAACTGTTTTTTTATTTGTCCATGGCATGCTTGAATACGAAACTTTTTAAATAAAATTAAAAACTCAGTTCCCGATTTCGTTCAATAAATTCGTTAATAAAATATTCTTTAAGCCATAACTTTTAAACGAATATCGATATCGACATGCGGTTTCAAGATATTATGTTGCAAATTTGATCTACTTTCTGAATCTGATAAAATAATCATATCATTCATGATTTCGGAGAAAAATTTAAAAAACGGGTAACTTTATAAAACACGCCCCCTTGCGAGGGCGGCAAGAACCAGGATGGCATGAATGGTTTTTTATTATATTCACCGAACCTTCCTCTACTGAACCAGACCTTGTTAGCAGAATTCCATTGAGTCAATCTTGAGTTATCAACATTTACAGTCTAAAAGGTTTAGGATCGATCCTCTGAAGCCTTCATTTAACGTCCTACAATAAAATAATGTAAATCAAAAAGAGGGACCATTATGGTGGCATTGACGTGAGAGTATTCATTTTTGAACTAATATAGGAAAATTTTCGAAATATATCCATTTTTCATACGATCGAAGCTATTACGCCCCCCTAGCAGTACGCCTATGGATTTAAAAAATATTTCTAGCAATTTTTCTTGGTCGATTTCCTCATGAAGGATTTTTTCCTCAAACTTCTACGACAATTAGTTCCTGAGATACAGTACCTCGTCACCCTTAATGAATCACAAAAAATGCAGCGGGAGACGAAGGAATCTGGTTGGTACATTATGATTTAAAAGTAAGTGCCTACTATGTCATTCACATATTATAGTTTTCATTCTTGAAAGGACCACGCACACATTATATGGGGAAATGTCTTTCGGTGAAAATCGCTGGATTTTTGAAATGTTGTAGCTGTCATTCTGAGTAAAAGACTCCATTGGCCCAACTCGATCGTATGACCAGATTCGGTGCTAGAGGGTAATTTCTCTGATTTCTCATCGGAATTCCTTCTGCAATAGGAACTAATAGAAATACTCGTGAAATTTCTAAAATAATGCAAGAAGATTGGATTCATGCAATCAAATGGGAGGACTGGTCTGACATGTGTTGTAGACATTTTCGATCTTTTAGCAGTATAACCCTTTCATTGCTGGAACCGGAAAAATCCGCAAAACGTTTGTACACCAAATACGCGGGAGACGGCTTTTCACGCACGTGTTTTTAACGCATTGATTGCGGGAGCCCGGCGTTCCCGTCTACGTATATTAATATGTCAAGATGCAACTAAACATGTCTCAACAGGATTCAACGATTGTGGATGCAGTTTTCATTTCATTCAATATTTCAGTATCGAAGTAGTAGCTGCACCAGTTGGTTGGTTTTTATTTGTTTCAAGTGAATTTAAACCACGATGGCTCGAAAATATCTCAATGACGATCAAATTGAAGAGTTGTTGTATGCTAAAAGGAACTTAATTCTGCTTTGCGCCTTGTGATGTTCCACTGTGTATTATAAAATGTTTTGAAAGGTATCACACTGTCAAAAATCATTAAATTCCATTTCATATATGGGAATATTCTCAATTCATTATAGATATAAGGAATCGCATTATAACATTTCATTTTAAATAAAGACTATTGGAATAATAGTAGATTGTTTTATTAGGATCAAAAGTGACACTTTGTTTGACAAGCGAATTTTGCATTTGCGAGGCGGAGCGTTTAGCGAAGCCGAGCGAAAGCAAAATTTGCGAGTCGAACAAAGTCACTTTTGATCCGAATGAAACATGCTATTTTTTCTGCAACCGAAACAATCAACTCAAATAAACATGTGAAGTAACCACCAATGCCGTGCCATATGTATGCAATGCAACAATATTGACAAATACTCCATGTGGTGAGAATATTCTACCTGCATCAACAGCAGGTTAGGTTTTCAAGGATGTTCGAATTGTAGTTTCAATATAAATACAACCACAGAGTGACATATTTGTGTATGGACCAGGTGCTCTAATGGCAAATACCGCGCCAGTGCCAGCTATAAGAACAAGACGTGGAAAATGTTAGGTTAGTGAGCATATCAACGATGATAATAGTGATTATTTATTCCTCTCCAAACTACATTGTGTTTGACTTGATAATCAAATGAAGCTAGACAATATCGTTGTTTGAGAAAAAAAAAACAATTGCTTGCCGTGATTATTCAAAAACAAGTTATCCATCCCGAGAATAACGAATGAAATACAGATCAAGCAAGTGATTGAATCTTGAAGGCTTCTCTGATCAAAACAAAAATACTCAACTGAGATGTTAATAATTCCAATACGAAACTATAATAAGGTGTATTTATATCTCCAGCATGGGTATGAAATGCCAAATCTGCTGAAATCGGAAACAAATCATGTATGCGTCTCAACCCAAATAACCAACCGTCACAATGTTGTTTATTCTTGATGACGTCCAGTACATTCTTTTTAGTTCCTAGGAGCTAAAGTTCAACTTTAGCTTCTAGGAACTAAAATTCAACTTCAGCTCCTAGGAACTAAATATGTTGCCTAGCAACATACCTATTTTTGTGTCAGTAATAGAAACGTCAATTTAAGAGCTAATTTTGGTATCAAAATGGACGACTTTTGCGTCGGTTGCAGAAAAAACTTATTTTGGGTTGAAATATGTGAAAAAATCGCATTCACAAGTTATCCTGTGGTTGCGGGAGACGGGTGTACACGTCCGTACCTGACTTGCGTATACCGAAAGACGGGCGTTCCCGCAACGCTAAATTTTCTCTGTTTTGAGAGCACGACTATCGAAATTTTACCGCAATGAAAGGGATGAGCTTCTATTGCAGGAGTGGCAGAAGGTATTTCAATAAGAAATGACCGAAATTTACCTTGCCCCGTCCCCATGTGCCCCATCCCCCTGATCTGCGGCGGCGGCATGCTCTGGCCGGGTACCCCCTGCCCGGGGCTGACCTTGCCGTAGCCCACGTGCGGCGCCTGCTGCCTGGCCGCCTCCTCCTGCACCTGCTTGACCACTTGGAGGACGTTGGCGGGCGGCGTCTGCGCGCCCGGCTTCATGCCGAGGCCGGGCTGGTGGGGCGGCGGCTGGAGGGCCATCGCCGCCGGACTGGGCAGGCCTGCGAATCGACGGTAACAGAATGATAGTGTCATGTTTCGAGTTATTGAATTGAAATAATTACTGACGATCTGGAAATAGCTAGTGTTCCTAAATGTACTCGACACTGCTGTTTTGACGTTTTTTGTATATTTTTTGTTGTTGTTGTTGTTGTTCTTTATTACCCCAAGAAACATATTTATTTATAATAGAGATAAATAAACATATGATATATATATAACAATTATAAAAAAACTAATTACCAAGTTATGTCAATATAACATAATATTTAAAATAAAATCATTCCAAGTATTCAGGAGAATAAATTGCTCCGTTTATAGTGTCACGAGTATATATTTTTTTAATATTGACTTTGAATCTTGTTTCATCATCAATATGTTTCAAATCATAAGGTGATGAATTATATAAAATGATTTCGTTTGTAGAATACTGATTGTTTGCCAATGATGGAGTTATATGGGTTTGCTATTAATGAATTCAACTGTCTCGTTTCATGAGTATGAATTGTATTTACCAGTAAAGTTCAAGTTGGATATTTTCATTTTTTTTCTCACAAAATGAATAAAAGAACAAATTTTCATTTTATATAAAGATGATAAATTCAACAGATTTTTTGGTTTGTAAAGATTAATAGTTGGTTCCAGGTTATGTGAATTGTAAATGCACTTAATTGTTTTATTTTGTAATTTCATTAATGGTTTCAAATGTGATATACTTGTGCTTCCCCAAATTGATATTAAATATTTTAATTTTGAGTAAATCAGACAGAAATATATATTCTTCAAATATCAAAGAGGTATGAAATTTCGAATTTTGTATCAAATGCTAGTAATTGGATTTAGCTTTTTTCTCAGGTGATCTATATGCTCAGTCCACGATAATTGTTCATCAATATAAAGACCTAAGAATTTATTTTATGGCTTTCTGGTTGACAAATATTGTTGTTTTCCACATATCAGTTTTTTTTTTGAAATATACATATACGTAGATTTGTCATAGTTAAGAGTCAGCTCATGAATTTGTAGCCAAAATGATATCATTTTCAAGTCACTTTTTATATCATCAACTATATCGTTGAATTCTTTAGAGGGATAGATTATTTTAGTATCATCTGTAAATAACTTCAGATCTCCTTTTAGTTTCAAAGATGATATTGAATTGATGTAAATTAAGAATAAAATTGAACCTAAAACGGAACCTTGTGGTACACCACATTTGATCTCCCTTACGGAGCTACAAATATTATTGACTTCAACATATTGCTTCCTATTTTCCAGATAATTTTTTAACCAATCAAATATTGTTCCTCTAATACCTATTGAATATATTTTACTCAGTAAAATATCATGATTTACAGTATGAAAGCTTTACATAAATCTAAAGACAAGAGACCACATTTATAATTTTGATCAATTTCAAACTCAATATCCGAAATTACATCCATAACTGCTACCTCAGTGTCTTTCGATCGGCGAAATCCATATTGACTACTGTATAGTAGACCATTATTTTCAAGAATATCAAGAGTACGCTTATTCATCATTTTTTCAATAATTTTAGAGAGGAATGGGAGAACTTAAACCGGTCTGTAGTTATTAAGGTCATCTCTTTTTCCAGTTTTATGTATCGGTATGACTTTAGCAATTTCCATTTCATCTGGTACAATTCCAGTTTTGAAAGATCTAGTAACAATATACAACAAAATCGGAGCTACTTCTACTTTAGCAGATACTAGAGTACGGACACTAGACAAGCATTGACAATCAAACAAAACCACAAACGATTTTGAAGCAAATTATATGTTTTGCCAGACAAGGAAAAGAATATGTTTTTCGCTTAGATAAAGGATCCTCGCATCTTCATTCCTCCACAAATCCTGGGAAGAGTACATCCATATATCTTTCTGTGTCTTTGATTTTTGTATGAGAGTGCATAGCGTCTCCTCGAGTCGGTGAAAGGGTATGATAAATTGATAAGAAAATTATTTCTTCTCGAAATATTGAATGTTAAGGCTGAAGGACCTCAATAGAGGTCGATATCAAGTTGGTATGTACATAATATATACCAACAAAATACATAAACTATTCCTATGGAATAAGTCTCTCATATGTAGGTATATATATGTACGTTCAGTTGAATATTTTTTCATCACAAAAGTTCAGAATGGGATAAAAACTGATGAATTTCAACCAATGAAACATACTTTTATTTCGTATGGAACAATTTCATTTGTACAAGAGTGGTAAGTAATAAGTTATTAATAAATGAACAAATGATATGGCAACAATAACAGCTAATTTCAATTAGGATAAATATTAAAGGTTCTCCAAGACATACGGAAGTAGGTAAAAATGGACTTCAGCGCTCGACTCACTATAGATCGCCGTTCATATTGCTAAAGGGGATTGTTGGTTTGAACCCGGCAATCGGAAGATCATTTTCATTTCATCACAAGTGGTTCAACATCCACTTGGAGCTATGTAGTCGTCTAGCACTTCTCAATTACCCATGAACATGTACATTCAGACTTGGGATTTCAACTTTGAAGAAGCGATACACGGACAATACAGGGTGTCAATTTGAAAACTTTCCACCCTTAATATCTCCCTCCAAGTCGATAATATGGAAAAACGAAAAGACAGGTCGATTTTATTTTCGAGGGGGACATGGCTCTAAAATATTTTCAGCCCCGCGGCGTTGCCGCTTCTAACGAAAAGAAGCAACAACTTTGTTATTTCAAATGGAACACCCTGTATTTTATTGCATTTTTAGATTTTCACTGAAGAGCTGATTTTATCAATGTATCACACTTGGGGTCTAGCAGGAATGATTACAGAGATATAGGGTGTTCAAAATCGAGATTTTACAACTTTAGGATTTTTTTGAGTCGAAACTATTCATTATTGGTCAAAACGGCTTTTATGTCCCTATCTCAACTTTTGATTTACTATCTACTGACATTTATTTGAAACAAATACAGGGTGATCAAAAGTCTGAATCATGAACCACCCTGTATTTGTTTCAAATAAATGTCAGTAGATAGTAAATCAAAAGTTGAGATAGGGACATAAAAGCCGTTTTGACCAATAATGAATAGTTTCGACTCAAAAAAATCCTAAAGTTGTAAAATCTCGATTTTGAACACCCTATATCTCTGTAATCATTCCTGCTAGACCCCAAGTGTGATGCATTGATGAAATCAGCTTTTCAGTGAGAATCTAAAAATGCAATAAAATACAGGGTGTTCCATTTGAAATAACAGAGTTGTTGCTTCTTTTCGTTAGAAGCGGCAACGCCGCGGGGCTGAAAATATTTTAGAACCATGTCCCCCTCGAAAATAAAATCGACCTGTCTTTTCGTTTTTCCATATTATCGACTTGGAGGGAGATATTGAGGGTGGGAAGTTTTCAAATTGACACCCTGTATATAGGATATAGTTCTGAATTTTGCTAACTCTGACTTCTGTATCTAAATCTTAAATTTTGCTTCAACTTATTTTCCAACTCTATATTTTTCTTCTATTTGTTTCCTGAATTCATCACTTTGTTTCACTCTTAAACCTTGAATTTGTTCGAAATGAATTTCATTATCTGCAAGATTTTCGTTTCCTGTTGGTTCTAAATTGGAATAAGGTTCTTTTCGATACCCGCTCTTAGTAATGAATACCATGTTCTGACAATGAAAATGGTAAATTCAAGATTAATTAATGAAAACATCCTGTAACTCATTTGATTCCCAACGTCTCCAATTGTCAATGAAAACTGAAAAGCTTCGAGACAGATACGACTTTGCTATTAAAATAATCATTTCTTATGTTGAAAACGGGAGCAGAATCGGTCCCGAAACGTCCAAAGATAAGTGAAAATTTGATATTTTTTCTATATACCTTTATTTCTCTTCTCCAAACTTTTTTCAATACAAATTGTCACTGACAAGCTAGTGAATTTTTCTTTCAGGCTTTCTGATAGGAAAATTCTTTAAACACAGTGACATTTTGGTGCAAATCATCTAATTTGTCCTCACTACATGTATATTGAAATAGTATTCATATTATTATTTTATAGAAACGAGGAGAGAAAATCCCAAAAAATTTGGAATAATATATGACTATTAATATAGTATGCTGAAAAGTGTGTTATTTCGAAAATTAATTTTAAATGAATGAAATTTCCAATAAAATTATTGATATTATATCATCATTATCATTATTATTATATAATACCAACTCCAACCCTACATCCTCCAGAAAACCCAAAAAAACTAACCTGAATTCATCGCGTTGCCGGGCGCTCCCCCCGGCACTCCGCCCTGCATCCCTGCTCCCCCTCCCATCCCTACCCCCTGACCCACACCCCCGCCGCCGACGCCGACCGCCGGCATCGTCGGCTGCGTAGTAGGCGCCGTCCGAGACATCACCGCCATCCTTCGCCTCAGCAGCTGCGCCTGCTGCAACCTAAAAATAAATAATAATATTGGTTATTTCATAACAGTAATTTACAACCAATCAGATGCAAAATTTTTCATCCACAAGAGCATGCAGACGTATAATTGATAACTATGCCATATTGGCAGATGACACAGTACTTTTACAAAAACCCTGTAACTATGGAAGACAACATAAATGAGGATTTAAAGAAAATGGAAGAATGGCTTTACTCCAATCTTCCTTCTGTTAATTCTAATAAGACACAATATATGTATAACTCTCCATCAAAGAAATAAACAAGATATGGATTTGAATAGTAGAATAAAAAACGGAAGAAACAAACTGCCTATATAAAATACCTTGGTATTTGGATTTATGAAAAGTTAACATGGGACAAGCATATTGGCATGCTCAATTTCTCCCATAGTTGATGTTCTAAGAAGATGTCCAAAACTTAGCCCAAATATAGCAAATACCATTCTATACCCTCACATCCTTAGAACTATCTCATAAATATTAGGCGTTCATTTTCCAAGAATAATTTTAACAAAATATCTGAACTATGTAAGGAAGCATTAAAATTAATGTATCATCTTCAATATGACACACCATCAAATCAACTTTTTGAACAAACGAATACAATTTCTTTGAAAGAGCACCATCTGGTCAATACTCTCAAAAGTTTACCATCTATCTCAAAACTCAATAAATTACCTGAAGATATCGGAAGTTGCACAAATATCACCCAATTCAAAATTGAATTCAAGAAACTTATCCTCTTGCAAAGAGAAAATCAAACCTGAGTGAATGATTTCTCATTTTCTAATTTATTCCATAATGTCATAATGTACTTATTATGGGAATTTTTTGAATCTGTTGTTTATTTCAATAACACATGGATAATCTCATACCAGATATGAATCTGTCTGATTATTCATGTTATTACATTGTAAACCTTATTAAAATATATTTATATGAGATGCAATGTAATGTTTATAACAAAGAATGGAATAAATATTATTATCATTAGGTGGAGATTGTCTGGCACATGACAACTATCATATAATTAGACAAAATGGAAATTTTGACAATGTTTAATATTCGGAAACCTAATAAGAACATCATATGCAATCAATTATTTTTATATAATAATGTCTCTGATACTACAAATTTTATTTAACTAGGGTACTGGGAGAGTAAATATTCGCTTAATGTTGTCTGTAAATGAATTTTTAAAGAAAATTATCCCTCGTCGCTTCGCGAATCGTGATTTCTCGAAAAATTCATGTACTAAAAATATTTCCAGAAATAATTCATTCCTTAGGGGAATTATAAGTGATTATTTCATTCACACCTGGCTGGAACTATGAAATTTCATGATTGAAGTCACATGCTATGCGATATCAGCGGCTATTTAGGTAAACTAACAGTATGATCGGCTATTCTGTTTGCCAGCATAAGAGTGCTATGGTTGTCAAACTGTCTGTCTGTCTGATTATTCATGTTATTTCATTGTAAATGTAAATGGATATATTTATATGAGATGCAATGTAATGTTCATAACAAAGAATGAAATAAATAAATATTAGTATTATTAAAAGAACAAAATTTTTGTATCTCATAAACTATACCTCTGCTGCAGCTGCTGCTGTTTCAGCTTGTGCTTGATGTTCGAACAGAACGGCACCGGACATTTGGTCTCCTGGCAGTGTTTGGCGTGATAGCAGCACAGGGCGATGAGCTGTTTGCATATGGGGCAGCCGCCGTTCGTTTTCCGTTTGCACACTTTCGTGTGGGTGACGACGCGCTTCATCTTCTGGCAGCTGGGCAGGCGGCAGTTGGCGTCTCGGCATTGGCACGCGTGCACCAACGACTGGATGCAACGCTGCAAAATCGAAAAATATGTTGAAGCTGATGAAATTTGCTATGATAATGTGCCGATTAGCGATATGGAGTGTTTAACTTGAATGAAATCTTCAAACTTATACAAATGAGATATTTTATACTGTTCATGAAATATTCTTCCTGAATATCACTCGACCATGACGAATATAGAGACTATCATTTTTTTTTCTCGATAACGGTCGCAGATGCGTGCATCACGAAAAAGAGCTTGAACCCCTAAAACATTACCTCCCAGTAGATTCTCACAAATTTGCATTACAACAGGGCATTTTATTCCTATATTTCTTCAGATAAACTTACTTGTCTTTTATGAAGATCAGAAAATTGAACATACTTTTACCTACTCAAAAAACATACCCTACAACCACTTCATATTAGGCACAATGTGCGTAAGAAAAGGGTAAAAAAGAAATATTCAGTATTTGCGCCTTTCAAGGTCATTATCCGACGTGGAGATGACGTTAAACCTGTGGGAGAACATTCCTAACTCATGGCTTCGATTGACAGTTAGACATGTTTTACCCCAGTTTTAACGTCATCGCATGTTTTACCCCAGTTTTAACGTCATCGCATGTTTTACCCCAGTTTTAACGTCATCGCAACGTCAGCTAATATTTCAGTTAAGAATAAAGTATATGCCATGGATGGCAGCGCCTGCTTCACATAAACCTGCTGCACATAAGTCTGCTTCACATAAGTGAACCACGAAGTTTTTCAGTGAGTTAACACAATATAGATATTTTACCAACTAAAATATCAATATAGGCATTTAATGGTCGAGATATTTTGACGTGCCAGTGAAGCGTTTGGTTGCATAAACCATCATCTTCAATTAATAGAAAAAATCATCGTCAATATGGGTTATTAACGATCAACTTTGTGTACATTAATATACAGGTTTATACGAAGTTGACAGAAAATAATATTAATGGTAGAAATTAATATTATAGTTCATTGTTGTTTGTGGCTAATGGACCGGTCAAGGCTTGCCATGAATGCCGATAATCGAACCCGTGTCCTGGGAATATTGCAAGATATAACACCATATATTCATTGATAGTCAGCAGACTGAACATTTAACTTTTTCAGACTGCTCATGAGCAGCAGACCGATCAACTTACCACGTCTATTGTTCATGATGAATAATAATATCACTAGGGTAAACTCGTCTGGCGTATAGACCAATGGATTCTGAGATCAAACAGTCCATATCTCACGACCCGTTATATTCTCAACTGGAATGTAACCTAGTCACCTCCATTCATTTTCTATTTTTGTACCTTCCTTATCTTGTGATGAATCTGATACGGTTGTTATTGTCAGTATGAGAAATTAATTTTCATTAACAATATGTATCAGATATTGTTAGCTGTAATATTGACTCAAGTATGGAATTAATTAATAACCTACCAAACAAAAGAAATTTTGAACTCATTCTTGATCCTCCCAATTTCAAGTTATGAAGGTGCATTCCTTGAATAATATTGAATATACAATACGATTGTCCGAATGAATGTTTCATCAACAGAAACGGTTCAAATCTACCATTCTCCAAGCTGACATTTGATAAAATGGGACCCTGCTGGTTTTTCGGCTAGTTGAGTGTAGAGTTTAGATGTTGGAAAATATTCGTTTTCTCATACGCACTATCCGAAATCAAAACACAAGAAACACCTTACCTGTATCGACAACTTCCTCGCCTCGCCCGGATTCGCTTTGCTATCGCTCGGCGAACTGCCGTCGTCGATGTCCAAGCCGAGCTTCTCCATCTTGTGCACGTGCCCCTCTTTCTCGTAGCAGTGCGTGCAGAGATCGAAGTCCTCGCACACCGTGCAGTGGTACCGCGTCTCGACATGCGCCTTATGGATACAAAAATTTTGTTATTTCACGTGTTGTACAATAACAAAAAATACGTCAGGAATATGATATTCTTGTCAATAAATAAAGGGTGTTGCGAAATTCGACCGACAACGCTTCACATAAGGTCTTCAAGGAGTTGGTTTCGCAGATACAGGATGTTAAAATTGGAAAATGAATTTTTTTTGGCATGAGGGTCAACATACTATGACTGTCCACCAAATCATATTACTGAGACAAGAGGTCTTGCATGACATACTTTCTCCTTCATATCATATGGCCTCTAATTTAGGATATCTTCTTCTCTGTTAGTGTGAGTGTTGCGCATAATTCATTGGGAGTAGAAACCACTGTTTCCAAAAATTTTCGGCTTTAGTCATAGACATATAAGAAGAGGAGAGACGAAATTGTTTGCATTTTGTCCCGATCCAACAATTTCTTCAGCAGAAAACGATGAATTTCCGCGGATTGTCCAAGATCTATCGCATGTGTTTGAAAATAAAGAAAGCATTGGCCATACATAAAAAAAATGTGAATCGTGCTATTGATATAATTGAAATTTTCCTAATTTCATCATTACATTACCATGAGTGATGCATATTTTTCTCGTATGTCAAAATCTGACGTAGTGCTGTTGTGATGTGTTTGTTACCATTTTAGGAATCTTGTGTTTCATTTGATTTTCAGTGTTTTCTTATAAATCTATATATAGACAATTATTAAAAGTCTATTATGGCTCGCCAGTGTGTAAATTGTGAAAAGGTTCACCATTCATACCCCAAATTGGTATTTTGAGGCTAAGTAAGGTTATATGTTTCTTTCAACTTGAGCAGGTTATTTGACTACATTATTGCAAGAAACATTGTCTCTTTTGTTCAAATTCCACTGAGTGATGGATCAAAATTTAGGTATTTACCTAAGGTACTACGAATATTTGGTATTAAAATCAAAATATTTGACCCAAACATTTTCTAATAGGTATAGCGATGTCATTGTAGTAAGAGTGTCTTTCCTCTCGCTCAGCTTACGCGACTGGTAAATAAAAGTGTGAATATTAAGGAACAGTTGACAGCGTTGCCATTTTTTAAAGCCATATCTTTCTAACTTAGTTGAAATTTTGGGAGAATGTGATTGTAAACAAATAGTGAATTATGAATGAAATGTTATGTCTTCCCTCTTTTTATATGTCTATGGCCTTAGCCCTAAGGACTCCAGGAACATTTAGGGACTTTTGATATTGGCATAGGCCTCAGCGCCGACTGGTGAGACCGAAAATGTTAGGCCCTAATTACTCACAAACGGCAGATAGAATTTTTCTCAATCCATTATGGTATTCAATTAGTGATGAACATAGCGGGACTGCAAATTTTCATAGTAGACAAGTAATAATCATAGTGGAAAATATAATTTGTTATTTTTGTTATTATTGATGGTTTTCCTGTTTTGGTGGTTTCAGTAACTTATTCAGTATTATAAATTTATATCAGACTATTCAGTGAATGAATATGTTACAGAAGTGTTAATTCTGTAAAGAAAATTTACAAATATTTTAAGCAGCGAATTTAAAATGTACATGGAAATATGGTCCAATAGCATTCCGGTTTGAGGGATTGCTTTTGTTGATGAAAAACCATGATTAGGATATCGAAAATAGGTGGCTCCTCTGAAATATTGGTTTATGGTACATACCTTGCAGCTGTTACAAGTGTAAACGAACTTGTCCTGGCCTTGGTTGTGCAGCTCGTACAGCATCGAGATGGTGCTGTATTTGGCGCGGCGCAGCGAAGAGAATTCGTAGTGCTTCTCGCGGGCCAGCGTGAGGAAGGCGTCGCGGCCGTCCATGAGATCACAGTTGATGAATGGGTCGGGGTCTTGGATTGGCTAAAAAAACGACGTTTTATTCATTTCCAAAATGAGGATCTGATCTACTGTCTGAAGGGTATTTGCAATGGGGTTTTACACACTATACCTTTTCAACTTCAATTTCGGACTAGGTAAGTTATATTTCGGAAAAAGTAATCTCGATTTCAGAATTGGTTGATTCGATTTCAGAAATGGTAAACTCAATTTCAGAATCGGTGAGGTGAATTTCAGAAAAATTCCATTCAATTTCAGAAATGGTAAGTTGTATTTCAGAATTGGTAGGTTCAATTTCAGAAAACAAATCCTTATTTTTGTTTTAAATGTTTTGAATTGCATGTGAAATCAACAAACTATATTTACAATATTCAACTTTTCAACAACAATTTAATAACATAATTATAATATCAACTTAATCCACAGACATGTCATACATCCGAATCGAAGAAGGATAGTGACGTTGTACATGATTATAAGAATGCCAACACATTTGAGGTGTTATCATTCACATTGAATGTTCTGCACATTCTTAAAGGCATCCCCGGCTATAACCCTTTGGCGATGCTCTTGCAAAAAGCTCTTCACTTTTGACTTGAAGACACCCATATATTTTCAATCGGGTTCAACGTAGGGCTGTAAGGTGCCAATCTGCGAAATATAACATCTTGAAATTCTTCCTCCATGCATATATCTTCTATTCTTGAATGTGCAGATGCATTATCCAGAATTACCACTATGGTATCTGCAGGATGCCCATTTCAAACGTACACTCTCAAACACCGTTTCATCTACTGTAAACAATCTTCTCTTTCGCAATTAAAAACATTTCAAACAGATAATAATATGAGGATTTATTATCTGAAATTGAACCTATCAATTCTGAAATACAACTTACCAGTTCTGAAATTGAATGGACATTTTCTGAAATTCATCTCACCGATTCAGAAATTGAGTTTACCATTTCTGAAATCGAACTAACCAATTCTGAAATCGAGATTACTTTTTCCGAAATATAACTTACCGATTCCGAAATTGAAGTTGAAAAAGTATAGTCACACTAGTCGAATTTATGCCTCAAATCTGTATATTGTCTTTTTGCTATAGAATTTTTTCTGGAAAAAAATGTGGTACCGCTGTTAATATGCCGTTTGCGTAAGTTGAGGATATTGTCTTTTCGCTCTGAAGACATTTTTCTAGATAGTATATGGTATAGCTAGTAATAACTATGTCTTTTGCATTTAAAAATATTCTTAATTATTTGAATGAATGATTATGAATGATGAATATATATTTTTTGAATACTAGCACTAATCAATAAGTATATGGTTTATTGAATATTATTTTTATTTTTACAAGTGAGTTTGCTTGTTGGATTTATACCTTTTCTCGCTGTGACCGATAAGGACTTGAAATGTTCAAAGTTGGGTAGGTATAAATTCTTGCTGAATGGAAAATACTTCAATGATTCAATGTGAGGTCGGAGATATGTTTGGAACGGTATTTTAAATCATTTCAAAAAGACCACAAAGATATAAAAGGTATATGAAATATATAAGTCTCTCAAATAATGATCAATAATTTAGATACTAATTGTTTTATTTTCACATCGGAATATTTTCTGCGTCATTTGAACTTTTATACATATCATGCATTCATAGTGTTGTATAAAGAAATCAAAGGAGTCAAATAAGATAGGATTCTATTTATTCACATAATAATTTTCCAGAAAACCCCCCTGTTCCTTGTTCGAAATTCATCATCATGAAACTAGACAAAATAACTCGTTTCACATTGACGCTGCTAGCTCCATACTCTGACAAAAAAGATTCACTCATGCAGCTTTGACAGAGTTCAATAAACTACTTGCCAATATAAAAAACTGTTGAAATATAGGTACATTCAAAAATAAAGTGAAAGAACTGATTATTACTGAACGAATTGGATAACATTAGTCATGTTATTTTACTGTTTTTCTACAAATATTGTTTTTTGTTCGCCAATTTATTGTTGATGTATTTTGAATGATAAAATGTTGACCTGTAGGTATATTATTATGTCTGTACTTTCTCATATCAGATCTTATTCTGTCTGGAAGTTATTTATTTGACAAATAAATAGCTAATGAGTTACCTAGGTATAGAGAAAAACATAATTGAAAAACTATTGTTTACCTTTAAACTAGCTGCTGACTGTACAGAATGTAACCTAATGACAAAAAATACTTCTTTGTGCTTTTCCATGGTGGCAAAAATTTTCGCAGACAGATCGTTTCCGGTCTGGGGAGTATTCGATTTCTTGCTATTATTTTTCCTCTGATTCGCCTTCGATTTTGTGTTTTTCTTTGCTTTCTTCTGGCCCTTCTTTTTGCCATCTGGACCTACTTCACATTCTTCCAATGATGAAAAAATCTGTAGAAAAAATAAAGGATTTCAACTAGGGTGAATCTAACTTGCATAGAAAAAGGAATAATATGAAGGATCACATTGCAAAAATATTCTATTCAGATAATTTCATGCAAATAATAAGACATAATTATTCACATTCTAGCATTTAGTTAAACATGGAATGAGACAAAAAATCATGTTGCAAAATTTACTGTTTGCTTCAAATTTTGTTAAAAAGAAAGATTAAAAACTTACCGCCGCTTCAGCAGCCTCAGCCTGCTTTCTCTTTTCTTCTTCTTCTTGATCTAGCTCTTTTATGCTCTCTTCTAAAACATTCGGCCAAAAATCTCCCTCGAAGTAGGGAAGATCAGCCGCCGATCGGAGATTGTCTTCCATTGCTTGTTTAAGAATATCCTGAAGGAACACAATCAAATAAAAATACTGTCATCATATTCACAGTGATATATCATCAAAATGACCTTGCATAAATAGCAATTATTTTTTTTTGTCTTGTGCAAGTACAAAGTCCATTTATGAGTGTTTATACCCCAAATAACCAACTTCTCCTAAAAGTACGGTTTCATTCAAAAATGAAAATCAGTTTTGGAATTGAAATATCTCATTTAGCTGAAACGTGGAATTTTCAGGAATTTCAGTGAAATGTTTTGTGTTTAACTGAGTTTAATATTAATTTCACAATCTTCCTCTCCAATCCCATAAACCAATCAGTTCATTAGCATGCCTTGTATTGCACCTTGAATTATCTATTGCATTATTCGGTTTGAGTTCATTGTTTGAAGTTGAAATATGGTTTTATCAGGAAGATGTATTTGAAATGATATTATTATCAAAGTTGAAGATAAACATAGGCAAAATGCAAAAAACTATGGTGGAGCATTACTTTATGAAGATTTCAGGATACAAGTTTTGCCAGTTAATACATCATATTATTGCCACAAAACTTGAGTGTTGTTCTCAAACAATTCCCAAAAGCCCAAGTGTAATTTTTTAGTCGCCAATAACATTATCACAGACTCATTCAAATATCTACATTGAGAGTGTACTGCTCTTCATGGGGTCAGAGATTTGATTCAATGTTGTATTCAAATCAATAGTGCAATTCCCAAAGAGGCATATGAAGTTAGTTACCAAGCCATAGAACACATTCATATGTGAAAAATGTGTCATAATGTCAATAACCAGTTGGTGTGTGCCCATACAAATTGTCAACAAAGTACATGTACAGTCAGATGCAAAAAACATGACGCAATTGGATGGTATTAGCGCTCTTATTGCAGAAGTGACTAGAAGTAAGAAATGCTATCACCACCCATGTGCGATATTTTCATTCCATATTACAGGGTGTTTCTCAAGGATGTGTAAATATTTCAAGCTAATGTTGCTGATGTCAAAAGGAGAAACTTGCTACAAAGGCTTGATACTAGAAAATAATTCACAATGTCTTACTAATACAAAAACTTCACATTTTTTGTGACATTGAAAGAAACATAACTCATGGATTGCTTTCTCAAATAAAGTGAATATACTCCTGACATGACTAAACAAAGAACATAAACATATGACAGACACTGCAGACTAGACCACACACAGAATGAAGACTAACATTTTCAATCTCACCAGTTGGCACTACTAAAGCTGGAGGTCTATGTCAATGTCAAAATTCCCTGAATTTTGATGAATAGTCCTGAAGGCTATGGTCTGTTATTTTCAAATATTTCCTAAAAAAGTTGTGTGTCTTATGTAAACAAATACAATAACTTGAGATATGACTAGACTAGGGTAGGCTTGGGGTTTCACCTCCAATGTGGAACTATAATGCAATTTTCAGGAACATAAAAGTATATATTATAAGAAATGAAGTGAAAGAAAGGGTATACCTATCAGCTCTACCAACATAACGTCTCAATACTGCAATCTGGTGGACAATTAGAATGTGTTAGCCCTCATTGTGATTTAGAAAGCAACCCCTCTTTGCGACCATATTTGCATTGGCAGAGTTATTCTACCATGCACAGATGAGAATAGCTTTCATTTCATATTATAATAAAAATGATCAATAAACGCCACGGATCTATGAATGAAACAAAATACTACCTGTATACTCAGCTGTAAGCTGGAATATATTTTATTCAAAGAACAAATAGAAAAAAAATTCCAGAAAATAAATTAATATTATTTCAATTCAAAATACCTGCGGCCACATTTCGATAGGTCACCCGGTAAAAAAATATTCTCCTACTCATGGATATATGTTGAATTTGAATTTTCATTAAATACTTTATGAACGTAGTGATCTTGCAGTCAGATCTTAGACTATTGCATTGTGTCACAACACTATTGTGGTTAAATTTTTTAAAATGTACTTGCATTGATAATATGAAACAAATATGAAATGCCGGCGGATTATCAAGTCGCATACACGTTATTACAATACAATTTCTACAAGTTTTGGCTTTTGGTGATGGTTTGATATACACTCACCGGCAACCAAAACATTTAGGCAAATTGCTAGCCTGAATATTAGGTCCTTAAATAGCTTGATCATTTTATTGGAAAAAACAAAAGTTACTTTTTCACCCTTGACTTCTAAACGCCCTGTGGCAAAGATGAGTGGTTGAATTGAAAGCTTAATTGTGTTTTGGATTGAAGCTTGATCACAACTTAACACAATGGTTTTTTATTCAGGTTGATAACCACTTTTTAAGAGAAGATACAACTGTTTTGAGAAAATATGTTTTTTTTTATTCTTATCAACAATAATTCAGAACCATTCTCCAACCTTCTACTGCTATCATATTTTGAATTGAATTGTGATCTTTTTCTGTTCCTTCTCAACACAACCATTCTAGATTCACGTCTTCATCTTCTTTTTGAAAGAAGACACAATTTTTCAATTCTTATTAACAATAATTCAGATCTTATAGAGCATCTAAGAGATGAACTTCAGAGGCTCATTCGCCTTCGTCTGGCCATGTCAGAGACTCTTCAAGGAGAAATTTAGGCAATTCTTCAAGACTACTTGGGAAATTTGATCAACTCGATGCCACGGCGGTTGAATGCTGTAATTCAAACTCGAGGAGGGCATACTTGTTAGCGCCTACAGGTCTACTTTTGATTTGTTGTATGTAATTAAGGTTTCTTTTCAGTAAGTCCTAAGAAAAAGAGGTAGAAATAAGTGATATTAATTCGTCGTCATGTTGGTAATCAATAAATTTATGTAGGTTCTGATTATTGTTAATAAACGTTGAAAAATGCTATTTTCTAAAAACAGTCCTATGTTCTTTCAAAAATATGATATTGACGTGAATCAAAAACTACTGCGCCGAGAAAGGATCACACTTCAATTCAAAGCATAATGAAGCCAAGTTGAACTACTCAATTTCGCCACAGGGCGTTGAGAAGTAAAGGGTGAAAGTAACTTTGGTTTTTCCCTGTATAATGATCAAGTCATCAACTTTTCACGGAAACTGATATTCAGGCTAACATTCCGGAACATGAATTTCCACGAAATTTCACAAAAAACGGACGAGGGTTAAAAAAGTTATAGGGTGAACAATTTGGGCACATTTTTTGGTGGTAGGTTTTTTGCCGGTGAGTGTAGAATAGATAAACGATAAGTCATACCTGGAACCGATTTTCACCAACATCCCAAAAATATTAATGTATCAATATTAACCCTCAAGTACTACCCACGGATCAAACTGACCCAGTGATATGTTTGAAATACTGTATCTTTGACACTCACACGAATAATATGTTGCCCTCTCTGAAATTCTCCTGTAATATATATTTCTACAGTTTGCTGTAAACATGAGAGCGACAGAATTCGCAGAAATCTGCCAGTGAACTGTTTTGGGGCATTCTGACCCGTGGGTAGTTGAACCGTCTCAAATCTTATATGATGTTTGCCATTGTTGTTTGTATAGGTAGGTAGGATAATCATTTAACCGTTGGAGGTTTTCCTGCTATTTTTCACATAAGTTTGGATTGAATTCTTACTCAGTAGTGATATCCTGCTATGAGAGTTGTCTAACTTATTCACAAATCATTTTTGTAACGCAGAAAATGGATCCGAGAGTATACCATACAATGTTTGCTCTATTGCATCTGGTATAATGAAAATACCGAATCCAACACATCCCATGGTGCCCCTGGGGTTAAACAAAGAGTTGATGCATCAAAAAGAAAAAGATGCGGTGTCTATCAATGTCCAAATGACAGGAAAGCCAGCAATAGCTGCCCAAGTGCTCAATCCCTTTTTGTGGACAGTGTGCGAAAAATATCAGCCCAGAATGTTCTTCCAAATCTTTTTCTCTTATTTCAATGTATATCCATAATGAATATCACATGCTCAGTTTTATATCTTTTTCATGAAGCTGAAAAAAACCTCAACATTTACTACGGATCAATTTGACCCGCGGGTAGTAGTTACGTTATTTTCATTGGAGATAGTACTTGCGGGTTAAATGTAAAAACTTCACAAACGATAAGATTTCCACAAAATTCACAAACACACGACATGTTTTGCTAACACAGTAGCTTCGTCAGGTGATATACTGGTACCTGACGAAGCTGTTAGCAAACCATGTCCTGTGTTTGAGAATTTTGTGGAAATCTTATCGTTTGTGAAGTTTTTACATTTGCCATGGATTTCCATCAAGTAACGGCCGAGTCAATTAAAAAAATATCAATATTATTCTTTGATTACCTTATAATCTAAAACTATCCTCTCGATGATCCCTTTATCTAACATCTTTTTATACCAGTCTTGCAGTCTCTTAGGTTTCGGTATTTTTTGGTCCAGGGGATGGCAATGGAATATGTAGTCGTCGCCCTCCGAAGGCGGACACGCCCATATGTGCGCCATAGTATAACCTAATTGTTTCACGTAGTCCATATAACCTAATAAAATCTCGTGGTACACCGCAGTCCTAAACTGTCGCGGCTTGAAGAAGTGCACCGAGTCCAAGTAGGCGATGTACACTCGACGCGTGTTCGGCGCCGGACACTCCGAACCGTACTCTTGCACGTGCATACCGAAAAAACACACGTCCGTCCCGTCGATCTCCTCGAACGCGAACAGCGCTTTCGCCCGATACGGGAACTCGCCGATCAGCTCGCCCGTTTCCACGAACTTGCTGCGCATGCCCTGCTTCACTTCCACCTGCTTCTCTGAACTGGACACGACGCGTATCGACACCTACAAATATAAACAACTGAATATAAATTCTCCTGCATATTGGAAATCGAGAATACAAAATTTTTGATCTTGTAACCCAGTTCAAGTATCTGGGTTTCATCTTGGACTAGAACTTACTGTTCAAATCAGTACTATACAGGGTGATCCACAGTGGATGGCCTAATAGAAGTATTTGGAGAACGAAAAGACATAACATTCTGAAAATTGGGATGCTTTGATAATTGAACATTCTCTATCCGTCTAAAATATTTTCAACGATACAGTGTTGCCACTTCTATCAGAAACAACTAGCAACTTCGTTATTTTAAATGAAGCACCCTGTATTTCATTGCATTTTTAGATTCTTCCTGAAGAGCTGATTTCATCAATGCATCACACTTGAGGTCTAGCAGGAATGATTACAGAGATATAGGGTGTTCAAAATCGAGATTTTTCAACTTTAGGATTTTTTTGTGCCGAAACTATCAATTATCGATCCAAACGGCTTGCATGTCCATATCTCAACTTTCGATTCACTATCTACTGACATTTAATTGGAACAGATATACAGGGTGATCAGAATTCTGAATCTTGGAGAACCCTGTATTTTTGTCAATTAAATTCCAGTAGATAGTGAATCAAAAGTTAAGATAGGGACATGTGAGCCGTTTTGATCGATAATGAATAGTTTCGACACAAAAAAATACTAAAATTGAAAAATCTGGATTTTGAACACCCTATATCTCTGTTATCATTCCTGCTAGACCCCAAGTGTGATGCATTGATGAAATCAGCTCTTCAGGAAGAATCTGAAAATGCAATACAGGGTGTTTCATTTGAAATAACAAAGTTGCTAGTTGTTTCTGATATAAATGGCAACACTGTATCGATGAAAATATTTTAGACGGATGGAGAATGTTCAATTATCGAGGCATCCCAATTTTCAGAATGTTCTGTCATTTAGTTCTCCAGATACTTTTAATAAGCCATCCACCGGGGATCACCCTGTATACAGGATCCCAACGATTTAATAGGGACAGTATTGCTATTTCAAAAACGGTAAGAGATAGAAACCCAATGAAAATTGACAAAAGTTGGGTAATTTGAACTTATTCAATATGACATTTCGCAATTTCGAAAAATGTCAGCCGTTCCTGAAATATTTTGAAAAAAACTGAAAAACTTTTTGCAAGCAGGTATATTTAATCATGACAAAATTCTTGGGATTGTCAGAAACGTTCTATCTTCAATATTTTCAGAGATTTACCGTGCCACTTTTGTTTTTCTAATGGGCGCCATATTTCTATAATACCACTGAATTGAGCTGGAAATGCCCTTCACAGCTATGTATAACATGTTGATATTTCCACATGAAACAGCACCAAAAAAACAGTAAAAACATTTTCAAATGTGACAGGCCGTGATAATGAGAAAACATAATATCAGTCGTCAAGAATACAAGTATCAATAATTCTTCATAGGCATGTCTATGTTTAATAATACTACTTTATTATATTTACAAAAAGAAGGAAAAGGCAAAGAAAAACCAAGGATACACATTTTTGTCAATTCTGAATTATGATAATTCAATGATCGAGGATAAGTTCAAAAAAAATTCCAATACCTACCTCCTATCCTTATCCTCCTTAGGAACGCACGATGTTCTTTGAACATTATAGGGATTCCCTTTCGTGCGCTCCAAGCGATAAAAAGAAAAAAAAACAACTCATGTCAAGACCATGTCTTACACCAAATGAAAACATGGCAGATTAAGGTTATGAAGAAGTACTGATATTGTAGCCATGACGACTGACATTTGGTTTATCAATTTTCATTCCCTACCATATTTGAAAATGTCAACATGTTTGAACTTGGCTGTTGCTGTGTATTAATCCGGACACAAGATACTCTAAGCAACAAACATTATATTCTATATAATTTCTTATAATTTCTGTCAAGTAATGCTCATCTATTAGACAGAGCTGTCATTGCTTGAAATTTTACATTCCATGAGATTTTTTTGAAAATGGAGTCATTGTGATATCAGATACGGAAATAAAATTGATGACATACAAAGTACCTCATTGATATATCGAACACAGTAAAACAATAGCAATTTTGTGTTATAGTCGTAGAAAAAAGATTTTTATATTAAACTTTCAAGGTATTTATCATCTTCAGTCTGACATTTGACACAACAAACGATTTACCATTTGTGCTCAATTAGGACTCTGATTTGTTTGAGAATACAGTACCATCAAATGTGCAATTACCACCTAACAAAGGTAAACATTCAACATCTGACTTCAACACTACCAATGGTAAATGAAACATATTGTTAATATACTCAACATGTACAGAAATTTGCCCTACTATTTCAACTCTTCCACGACTATATTTGGGAACATTTCCTCAAAATCCTATACATGAATCACTGATCTAACTGCTCCTGTAGATTCAGGAGCATTTCAATTTCCTTTCTATCTAGTGATATATATACCTTCAAACTATCCATAGAACTACTTTCCAATGATTTTATAATATCTTCTTCTAGGATTTCTCTTCCGACCCTTCCGATTCTCCATCCTCTAGCTCCTCTTCTAGATCATGTATCTTGTTTTACACATAGCAGATTTTCCTGTATGTCCTGTTTGACCACAAGAAAAACATTCCCATGGCATTGCAGGACACTTATTTTCATTGATGAATTCTACATCTCTTACATCTTGTACTCTTGAACTGATATTTCTGGAAATTTGAGTGTGAACTCGTACTAGGACTGGATTTACTGACATAACTCTTTGACTGGTGGAAACCTGATTTCCTGTAACCTGGTTTTTGGAACATTTTGTTGACTTGACCAGTTTCAGAACCCATTTGACGTATTTGTCCCTCTGCTAACTCCATTCCAATAGCTGTTGTATATGCAGATTCAATGGTTAATGTAGCATCTGTGAGTAATTTTCTCTTGATACTATCCAACTTTAAGCCACAGACTAACCTATCTCGTAAAGACTCATTTAGAAAACCTCCAAATTCACAGAATTTGGCTAAATTCTTCAATCGAGTTCCAAAAGATCTAACATCTTGATCAGTTTCCTGATTGGCTGTATGGAACTTATCTTTCTGCAATTACTAATCTCTTCGGACTATAGTGATTTTTTAGCTCCAACACTAGCTCATCATAACTTTTTGTACTTGGTAAGTTAGGTGATAAAAGATCCTTCAGGACACCATATGATTCACCTCTTATCAATGTTATCAACAGCGCTACTTTCTTAGGCTCGGTGATACATAAGAAAAGCTGTTCCAGTCTCTCCAGGTGAGATGTGATTTCACAACAAATATGGTGCCCATAAGATAAACGAAAGTTGCATGGCAAATCTCTGAAAATAATGAAGATATAATATTTCTGACAACCTCAACCAATTTGTCATGATTGATCACCTGCTTGCACAAAACTTCAATATTTTTACTCTTAATATTAATCATGAAAATGTACGAAAACAAACACAGTGATTTTCAGTGTTTCAAAAATATTTCAGGAACAGCTGACATTTTTCGAAATTGCAAAACGTCATATTGAAGAAGTTCAAATTAGGTTACAATTGTCTAATTCAATCAACTCTCATCTCTTCTTTAGGAAATAGCAATACTGTCAATATTAAATTATTGGGACTCTGTATAATAAGATTATTCAGCCACATTTAGATTATTGTAGTACATCGTTATATAATTTTGATAAGAATAAAACTATGATATTGCAAAAACTAGAAAATCGAGATATGAGTGATTCTGAAATGTAATAGATACACCAGTGTTTTTGTGATCTTGCTGGATACACCTCACTGGTTATCAGTACCAGTATCAGTACGAAAAAGAATCTATACAGCTGAGATTATATGTTTTTATAATCATTAATAATATGTTACAACTATGAGACAGCACAATGATTTTCATCTGTGGAGATGCAGTTTAGCTAAATCAATGAATTTTAATGTATAAAGGTTTGAATCAGTTCAATAAGTTAGCTCAAGACATAAAAAACAACAAATGAAAACGAATAATTGTAAGAATAACACTATTTTTTTTACTGTTAATATTATTACCTATTATTATTGTAGTTAACTTCAATTTACTTTTCATATAATATAATTATGTGCTCCTACAATCTACATTAACTTCATTACCTTAGAACTTCGTTGATTTGTTATTATTGTAATGTTTTCAATTCAATAATAGTTATTTATACACCACAGTGGTGAAGTATTTATACACAATAGTGATAATATTATTAACCAGGGACCAAGATTATATTTTTAGGCGGCAACAGAGGGATATACGGTCCAGAGATAATAATGTTAATTACTACCAAGGTGTATATTGAATTTTTTCTACCACTAGCAGTACATGTCAGCCATTATATTTCTGTCAAACTGAAATATGGACCTATTGTCACCATAATAGCACTTCTTTTCAATTCTGATTGAAATCTAGTAGCCATGACCACGTCAGCATATTATGACAAATAGTCATGATAAATACCCACCAGATTCAAGTACCATTCCTGCAAATATCACATCAGAACAGTGAATTCGGGATGAATATAACAGATGTGGCTGTTTTTATGGATTAATAATTCATAAAATGACGAAAGCTACCTTGCCTTGAAAAGGAGTGAATAATGATAGGATTGATAGCTAGTGGTGAAAAAACATTCATTAATGCATTCATTACAAAACAGATTCTAACCTATGCAAAGAAGAAGATCACGTAATCTGACGTCACTGATTTGATTTTTATGATCCAGTAGGAGCATTAACCTCTTACCCAACTCAAACAAACAGAAAGCTTGATTTAATGCTCAACACAAACTAACATAAAGCAGTGGCACAAATAATTTCTGAACATAGCCAAATCCGAGTAATATCCAAATTTCTTTTGATTTGGTTTTGATTAGAGGTTTTGATCGTTGATGTTGATCGAGAGAAAAGACTAAATTGAAATGGTAAAACCGTTGGCAAATTTCCAGGATGATGTCCGTATTCGCGTCTATTACCACTGCAATGTTAACAATTCTAATCTTTTTTTAACATATTTAACCACCATTGTTGCATTTTTCGCCATTTTCTTTGTTTTCATTTGTGATCCAACTTGATCAATCTGATTTGATTTTTCTGTTCCCTGAATATTCGCGGAGCAAATAAATCCTGCTTCAAGTGATCTATGACAACTTGCTCCAGTCAAACGAACACTAAATCATCAATTGCTCGGAACAAACGAACATCAAATATTGTTCACATCACTTCTTAGCAGGAAGGGGAAGACCAACGAACAGGCCTAATATGACATACGTAATTAATAATCGATGACAAAATATTTAGACATGTAGATTTTACTCAATCAAATAAATAATTAAATAATTTACCTCGCCGGCGCCCGCCTCCTTCTTTTTCAGATAGATGTTCACCCGGTTCTCGATGTACATGCCCAAGTTGGTGACGGGCAGCCGTTTCGCGTTGAACTTGTTATCCCTGCGCTTTTGCCCTTTCGCTTTGAGGCACTCGTCGCACGTGAAGCCCTGCGGCCAGATGGCTTCGATGTGGAGAACACAAATCTGGTGGAGTTTGCGGCCGCAGTCCGTGCAATGCACGAAGATTTCCATCTCGAGGTGGTCGTTCTTCATCTCTTTGAACTGATCTTTCTTTATTGCTCTGGAAAAAAGATTCGAGAATCAATCGGCTAGTCGCTAGGCTAGGATAAATGATCGAACTTACGTTTGAGCTTGCGTAGGATCTTCTCCTAACGTGACGGTGTCTCCTTGGATGTCGTTGAAACACTTCTGACAAAACGTATACCTATCTGAACCAAGTCCATATGCTTTCAAACTACAAAAAATAAATGCAAATTAATCCAAACAGGATAGGAACAGAAAGAACTAGCCACGAAAACGAGATTTATCTATCAGAAGTCTGTATACAGATTTTCACTTCAATTAGTGGCAGTTCTTTTGAAATTTAATAAGGCTCTTTTATCCACTAATTGGTTTGGAAAGTAAAAAAGTTGAATATCCAGATACTACTTGATATACAGGAACATATTATCAAATACCACAGACCTGGAATAACATTGCTGGCATATCGGATTTTCACAATGCTGAATCGTTCTCATTAGAAATGTTCAAAATTAAAAGTATGAGAATTACATACAATATCATAAATAAAAGATTGAAGCCCAATTTCATTTCACCAGGAAACAATGAAATTCATGATCAACAAACTAGGCAACATGATTTATTGAATCTTGCAATTGCTAATTCTTCTATACGACAAAACAATTTTAACCCACGTGGCTTCATTGGAATATAACAAATTACCAGATAATATAAAAAATTGCAGAAATACAATGAAATTCAAATATGAACTTTAAAATCTCATCATTTCTGAACGAAATACATGATTTTTTTTGCATCAAATTTTAATTCTTATTAAAATTCATTTTTGCTCACCAATATGAAATGATTTGTAAACATTTCATATTTAATATATCCAAATATTACATAACTTATGAGTGTGTTATACTTGTATAGTTAGGTATTATTGTTAACTTCCTTGCACCCGAAATCATTTCTGACTGAAAGTGACATTCTCAATAAAATGAATAAAATCATTTTGGAGTAAGATATTGTAGCCAGTCGATCAGCACAAAATGTAACAGTATACACGATGGATAATCGAGTATTCACCTAGACTACTGTTCCCTTTCCCTGTAGTAAAGTGTGCAACTGTTTGCCATATCCTCACTAAATTACTACAATTTTCATTCCGACTAAACCTGTTGATAGTGGAGCACATGGCTGCAAAGTGGGGACAACTTGATTAGCATCGCGGATATTTTTGTCCAAATCTGTAGTTCGCACTTGTGATAGAACAGTTCATACCGTTTTTGATACTCAACATTTCAGTAATTTCCTCAGGATGTTGAAACTTTGAACAATAGGTAAGAATTTATTTTTCTGGTAATAAAAATGCATATTTGCTCCCAATGAATCAACAAAGTTTCGAATACGATTTTATGTAGGCCTTCAAAATAAACTTCCCCAACATTTAAAGATTGTGTACATGATTAAATTGAATTAATAAATAGTAAACCTGCCTTGAACATAAAAAGTATCGAATTTAAAGAGAGAATGTAGGAAAGAATTACCTATTTTGATAACTGTAATATTTGGCGTCCCTAGCGATGGTACAAAGTTGTTTGCCATAACAACAAAGTACTTGGGGGTTGAAAGTGTATTTCCTGCCGCAACAGTAACCCATAGATTGCATCACTGGGTCGATTTCTTGTTCAAACACCTCCGACAGCTGAGAAAAACAAAAGCGTCAAATTATTCTCAAGTGTAACAGGTATACCAGTATAAATTAGCTGAAATTTCATTTAATCATTCCAGAATTACGTCATTTGACAGGTTGCTGAGGGACAAACATTGTATTTTGTCAAGATTTGTCATATAAAACCAGAATAAGTGGCATCGTTTTCCTTGGAATCCGTGTTGGAACCAGAAAGAATTCCGTAATTTTGTTTGGTGAAACTGTTATTATATTGTGGATGTGGCAGGGATTACCAGGGCTATGCTCATCAAAGGTAACCTAACAGATAGTTTGTGTGCCCCTCAAGAAACCATGTCAAAATCACGTGTTCTAGAATGATCAATTGAATAACTCATACGGGGTGTTTGATATTCACGTTACAATTCGAGAAAACTGTATATTCATTTGCACATGAGTAATTTTGGTTATGGTGGTCAGGGTGTAGGGTTGTTCATTGAAGTGCTACAGGGCGTTGAAGTTCATCAGGGTAATATAGTTTTTTCACAATATCTCGGAAAGTACATGTCAGAAATTCTTTGAATCAGGCCCACATATTTCTTTCTTCCCTACATTTCATAAGAAATTACTATAAATGCCAATATTTATTAGTCATCATTAAAGCATTCACTAATTTACAATGGATCATTTACCACATTATTTAAGGAATATGTGATAAGGATAATTGCTTATCAGAGACAGTCAGAAGAAAAAGATATATCTTTATTATTATTCCCAAGAAACATACATGTTTATAGCAGGGAAAATTATGAGAGAGCAACTAAAAAAAAACAAAAATTAGATAATCAGATAATCATTTTTAAATCATATACATAATACATATAATGTTGTTTCTTCTAGAGACTGTTGAATATAATTTCTTGAATTGATTCAGGATGACATGGAGAGAATCAAAGACATAAGTATTTTTTCAGTTCTTTTTTGAATTTTTCAACACTTAATTTTTTCTTTAGTCTGGCAGGTAATTCATTATAGAGAATTGTTCCATTGTATAAAATAGATCTTTTACCGATATCTGATTTAATTTTGATGAGAGTTAACATATCTTTTTGTCTGGTTATGTGTTCGTGTTTATGACTATTGACTTCAAAATTCAGATTTGAATGTTTATAATTATATTTGACGGAATGGATGAAATTCAATATTTTGAATTTGTAAATGGAGTTTATATCTAACAATTGCCTAGGTTTATAAAGATTTCTTGTTGGTTCCAAGTAATCTAGTTTGTATATACATTTAATAACTTTGTTTTGAAGAATTTTGATTGGCTTCATGATTGATAATCTAGCTGTACCCCAAACTGAAATCAAGTATTGTAATTTTGAATAAACCAAGGAAAAATATATACATTTCAAGTATTTCAAAGTGATTTGGTTTCTGATCCTGTAGAGTACTCCGATTACTGGAGATATTTTCTTTCTGATCGATTCAATATGTTTGGACCATGACAAATGTTCATCAAGGAATATCCCAAGGAATTTGATGGCTGTGGAATATTTGATGATTTCATTATTAAATTGAATGCATTTTGGACGTACAGATACTTACGATAATTTGAATAGACTTCATCGCCACTACAAATAAACTGTATCACCCTGTAGCCTACTTAGGTGCATGAAAAGCATGTGCTTAGTTCGGGAAGATCGACATAACAAGTTGATCGATTACTGTGATCATACTGATTCAGGATATTCTTATGCTGATATGTTAAATATTTGTTTTTGTTCAATTTGGTATTTATAAAGTTATAGCTCGGGAAAAAAGAACGCTCTTTGTGTTTATGAAACAAAATGAGCCAGCCAATTCCAGTATCATGGACAATTTCAATCCAAAAAGTGAAAAACAGACTGCTAGGACTTTATATTTGGGCATGTATATTTATATCATATTCCTATCTTGTGAAAAGACGTGTATAGTCGTGGAAATACACCAAGGCAAAATCTGTTTCTTTTTATTCATCGCAAGCTGAATGAGACAGAAAATCACTAGAAAAAGGAACGTCGGAACTTGATTCATATATTTTGATCATTGAATTGTCACTGTGACATAATCAAACAATTAGATTACTGGTTATACATCAATAATATTTCGAATTCCTTATATCATAATGGTGAAACGATTCAATGATCAATCTAAAACATTGATTCTGGGTGTGATCGCGTATTTTGTAAAACACGATGATTTCTGAAGAAAAAATGTTGTCAGCATTGCCGCGCAAGCTCTGAATATTTCAGAAAGGAGTATTTATCGGATCAAGAATTCGCAAAAAAACTCTGATGCTGTGTATGCAGAAACAATTTCGAAAAAGGCCGAAGAAATAAAAAAAAAGGTAAATCCCACAATTTTACAGGCTCTTAGAGTACATGTTACAATAAAATCGTTCAATAAGCGTTTCACTTGAGAATGGCCTGATTTTCCTTGTTCACCAAGATCAAATACCTGGATTCGCAAAATTGGATTCAAATTCAAGAGGAGCAACAATAGGCAGTTTCTTGTAGAACAACCATCAATTGCAGGCAAGTGTACGTCATTCAAAAAAAAAATGTCATCTAGATATTTACGCATCAGAACATGGTCACAATATTTTGAGATTACCACTTCACCATTGCCAATATAATGCCATAGAAATGGTGTGGTCAGAGGATTTATAACGCTGAAATCATCAAAACTAAATCATCCCCGGGAGATGTGATAATGGTCTGGTCAAAGGCGTTAGAAGCTGTAGGTGTGAAGCATTGGAGGAATTATGTACGACATACAGAAAAGTGATATTTTTGGCATGGGAGACATAGAAATACATAGGTGCTTCCAATATTGAACCTGTCGTGATAACTTTCAATTCAGATGAGAGCGATAAGTCATCCGAGGAAGGGTCAATGCGTTCAAATGAAAATATTTGTTTTTGAAAAAATGTTACTTCCTGAATAATTCATATTAAATTAAGTTGATGAGGAATTATTATTCGAAATATAATTCATGTGTTATACTACTTACTTACTTATTTTCTTGCAGAAAGCCAAAGACAAAACATTTGTTCCAAAGAATGTCATGTTGATAATGGATACAGAGTGTTTTCCGAAACCTCTAGTTGATATGGAGAGTAATACATCTTCACATATTTTCTTTAAATTTTTTCCTCAAATACTTAAGAATACACATGCGAATGGTAACCAGAAATTCTATAGGCTTTTGTTTTGTGACTTGGTGTATTTCCACGACTTTAGCTAACTCTGTATGTAATGGAAAAAACAAATTGTTGCTATTATTACCTTTGTGCAGTACCTATAAACTCGACTCGTCTTTCTGTTGTACAACCAAGCATTGTCGAACATGAGCCATACGTCATCGACGTACTCCCACGGATCCATGTACTGACCGATGTCGAGCTTCCTCCTGATGGTCGACAGATCCATGGGCCTCTTCACTATGTCAAAGTAATCCGGGATACCTAACGTTTGCGGATCGACGGGTTGTCGGAATGGTATGCTCTCCGGATCTTGTCTGAATAATTTTTCCAAAGTAGGCATCAATTTCTGCCTAAGTTCGTCAGGTTTAAAAACTGAAAATGTACAAGTTTTTCATTTGACTGCAAAATATGTAGTATTGCATTATACAGTGTGTCCACTCTGAGGACTCACAACATCTGTGAAACCTGAAATTATCCAACCTTGATAAACTTTTCTTGTTGAATTGCACATTCATTTTATATTTTGTGCTGTTATCAAAAACTACGACCACTTTCACCGGCTGAAATTTAAAAAAATACTATAAGAGATTATTTTTCACAAAAACTAACGACGGATTTACATTCAGAATCACTAAGAACATGATTGAACTGATTTTCGTTGTTCTTTTAAAAGAACGGATGTTATATAGAACATTTTGTTTTTCAAACCCTCCTTAGCTCTTTCAAGAAAAAACACAACAGCACTCTATCGATCGAACGGTTAAGTCATTTTTTTTTGAAAAATATCTGTTAGTACATTTGTAATTTGAGCCAATAAAAGTTATGGATATACATTTCAAATGACATTCCGAAGGAAATTGATGAAGTTCGATAGAAAAATGAATGTTATACATGTAAGGTTCTAAGGTGGATGCACTGTATGTAGCAAAAATCGATTTTTCAGGTTCAAAACACAATAAATAATCAAGTGAGTAGTGAAACAATGATTTAAAATTGACTAAAATGTGTCATTTGTAATTTGAGCCAATGAAAGTTATGAATATTCATCTCAAATGGCTTTCCAAAGGAAATTAATAAAGATCAATGGTAACATGAATTTTATACACGTAAGGTTCTAAGGTGGATGCACTGTATGTAGCAAAAATTGATTTTTCAGGTTCAAAACACAATAAATAATTGTGTAAGCAGTGAAACAATGATTTAAAATTGACTAAAATGTGTCATTTGTAATTTGAGCCAATAAAAGTTATGAATATTTATTTCAAATGATTTTCCAAAGGAAATTAAAAATGATCAATGGAAAAATGAATGTTATACACATAAGGTTCTAAGGTGGATGCACTGTATGTAGCAAAAATTGATTTTTCAGGTTCAAAACACAATAAATAATGGTGTAAGCAGTGAAACAATGATTCAAAATTGACTGAAATGTGTCATTTATAATTTGAGCCAATAAAAGTTATGAATATTCTATTCAAATGACTTTCCAAAGGAAATTATTAAAGATCAATAGAAAAATGAATATTATACACATAAGGTTCTAAGCTGGATGCACTGTATGTAGCAAAAATTGATTTTTCAGGTTCAAAACACAATAAATAATGGTGTAAGCAGTGAAACAATGATTCAAAATTGACTGAAATGTGTCATGTGAAGTCACCACAAAAATGAAAATAATATGTTTTTGCTATTTATTTTAGGTTTGAATACAAAATCTGACAGATACATACTTTTACTCTTTCTTTCGCCCATCTGGGAAGAATTGCCGTCCACTTGCGGTTTTACATCTCCCGATCCGTCCGGGACTCGACACTCTTCCTTAATTAATCCAGGCTCTTCTTTGATAACAACGCCATCCATCGGCTCTTGCTTAATTTCATCCTTAATCTCCATTTTGATGTCTGTCTTTATACCCTTACCTAGCGAGAAAATTAAAATGTAAAATGAATAAATTGATATAAAAAATTGTTCCCTTCAAAAGACTTTCAACCGAACAAATTCATTTGGAAAACAAAATGATAAGTTATGATTATCATTTTGAAATATAACGAAAGTGAAAAATAATAGATACTATTGGAAAATATCATAATTTATCTTAGTAATCAACTTCATCTAGCAAATGAGAGATTTATGAAAAATATTCATAATACTCGACGAAGTAGGACCTATTATATCCCATTGCTGTTATGATATAGTTATAATGTATTCAAAGAACAATTTCCGGAAATATAGACATATTGATGATGTCGGCAACGTCGTACGGACACAGGGAATCGTGTTTCAACTTTGAGTGAATGTGGCTTTTCATAATGTACGTCATAGGAAGGGTGAGCCAAGTTCCTTTTTCGAAAATATCAAGGCCAGTAGTTCTGAAAATGAATTAAGGATAACCAAAAAACCGAAATGATCGAATTTCAATTTCTTTTCCAGAAGTGTCCAATGTGCAACTATCATAGTTCATTTCAAGCTAATTTGATCACTCACTTTGAAAGTAAGCATGATATCAAAATTTTCAGGAGTCATATCAGTTTTTCTGGAATAGAGGAGTTTAATGAGTACATGAAATTCATTGAGAATAAGACCAAGTCTCGTTTTGTTAAGAAAATGTCAAGTAAAAACATTACCAAGTATGAATGTAATAGGTCTGGAGAATACATTTCCAAAGAAAATCGCATCCGGGCACTCAAAACAAGGGGCAGCAATAAAATAAATGCATTTTGTCCTGCATCTCTCACAGTTAGAATGGAGGAAGATGGAAAATATCATTGTGAATTTCTGAAAAATCATGTAGGACATAGTAATGACATAGGCTATTTGTTTCTGAGTGAAGAGGAAAGGAAAACTATTGCAGTTAAAATTGCTGAAAAAATACCATTTGATGTCATTTTGGATGGTGTTCGTGATTCGTGAAGAAGATAATTTAGATAGATTCCATTTACTCACAAAAAGAGATATGTATAATATAGAGAAATCATTTAATTTGAATTCCACTGGACATTGCAGTGATGCAGTGAGTGTTGATTCTTTGGTGACTCAAATGAGCCAAGAAAATAATTGTGTCCTATTTTACAAACCCCAGGACACACTAACTGAGGAATATAAAAACTTGAAAAAGGAAGATTTCATTCTGATCATAATGAATCAAGCACAGTGTCATTTGTTGAAAACATATGGATCAGATTGTATCTGTTTGGATGGCACACATGGCACCAATGGGTATAATTTTGAATTGATTACCTTATTGGTAATTGATGACATAAGACAGGGCTCTCCCTGCGCTTTCATGTTCACCAATCGATCTGATAAAGAAATCTTGAAAATATTTTTCTCCTCAGTAAAAAAAATCTCTGGTACTATAAATCCTACAGTTTTCATGACAGACATTGCAGAGTCTTTCTACAATGCTTGGATAGAAAAAATGGGTACACCAACATCAAGGTGAGCAAAATTTCTATGTAAACTTCTTCATTTCATCAATTTTACTCATTTCTTTGTGAATTTTTACATAACTTTGGTAATTGTTACAGATTGTACTGCAGTTGGCATGTGGATCGTGCTTGGCGTAAAAACTTGAATAAAATAAATGGCAAAGAGCAGCAGGTAGCTATATTTAGAAATTTGCACTTTCAAAATGATGAATTTATCGATTTTGATTGCAGGTTCTTGTTTATAAGCAAATTAGGTGTCTCATGGAGGAACGGGATATATCTGCTTTTACTGTGATGAGAGACAACTTGTGTAAACAACTTTCAGAAAATCCTGACACTTCAGAATTTGCTGAATATTTTGTTGCTAATTATATTCTGGTCATTTTGGATATTAGTTTTGTACATGCTTGAATTTGTGTACGTAGATTTAGATTCCGAAATTATTAATGTTAGTATTGTCAATAATTTTATATATATATATATTATTCCATTTATTTTTATATCTATCCATTTTGATTATTTTGTATATAAATATTGTACACTCTAGAATTTTGTTTACCTAGGTACTTAGTTTCATATTCCAAAATTGTTAATCTTTATTTATTATTATACTTTTTCACCACGTACAAGCAGCATTTGCTGCTTCTGTGGGTTTTCTAATGTTTATTTACCTGATGTTAACTTGATATCATAATTTCTTCCAATGTATTCTGATTCTGTCGAAATAAACATTATTATTATTATTATATTATATTATTATTATATACAAAATTTCAAATGTTGGGCATATTGCTATAGACTACATGCTGGAATAAATACAAATATGCATTTGGAGAGAATACATAGAACATTAAAATACATTTATTTGAAAGGAAAAACCAATAAAAGACTGGACGAAGCTATTATCAGTTTGATGAAATTCATCAGAGACAGACTATTCGACAGATTAATCACAATTCATAAGGGAAAGATTACTTCCAAATTGAAACAAATTCGGGACAGACATAAAAATAGCCTGCAGTTAGATTTCAATGCAGTCAATCAGACAGAAGAGGGTTGAGATGTTATTTCTTCTTCATCAAATAATTTTGAAATATACAATATCAAAAAAAATAAAAATGATTGCACATGTCAGCTAATATGCAGTGATTGTAACAATACATGTCTTCATATGTATTCCTGTTCATGCCCGAATTCCTCTATCAAATGGACAATGTGCAAACATATTCACCTTATTTGCAGAAGAGAAAATGTTCATTTAGGAACTGATTCTGTTGAAGGTAATTGATTGAGATATCATTTGTTATCAAAAATATTCTTTTCATCTTCTCAGTGGAAAGCAGATGATTGTGAAACCGAAATGAGTATATGAGGTAAAATTAAACTTCAAAATATATTTTTTATGGTGTTGGGGTGGTGTTGAATATTGTACTGGGTTTTCATTATTTTTTGTTACTCATTAGCATTCACTATGGTTTTGGTAGTCTTGTAGCATGAGAAACCTATAAATATTATTGCACTCTTCCATGTATTTATTTGAATTATACATTTTTCTATACTCTGAAATTCAAGTAAATTTTCAGTAACAAACAAGAGCTCATCAACATCAACACTGTATATTCACCTTGAGAATGATAAAACTGATGCAGAATCAGACTGTATAGTGGCAAATTTGAACCACATTAAATCTAAGGAGGAAAATATCACCAAGGAGAAAGCAAAAATAATTCAGAAATTTCTAGATGATACTCGAGATATTGAAACGAAGGAACAGCTTGAAGTTCTTCGTAGAACTTCAGCTCCACTTAAACCAAACTTACAAGCACTTGAAAACTCGAAGAATAAAAACCTGACTTTGGCAGATGAAAATAAAACTGCCCATAACAAGAAAATCCAGGCACAGAGGCGACTATATACAACAAAGAAGAAGACAAAAAAACAAAAAAATAACATAATTAAAAAACATGAATGTGATGAATCCATAAGTATAGCAATATCACTATTGGATACCAATAAATGATTAAATATTATGGAAGGTGTTATTTTATTTATGATACTATTTTATATTGATAGAATATGAAACACAAATAGAAATTTCACAATCAAATAATTTTTGGAAAAACGAATTTTCATTAAAAAAATGATAAAAGTTATCATCAGGGTACAATAAGTGTTGAAACGTATTCTCAGATAGATTATGAACATAAAAATGGATATATAATATAAAGAAATACATTGAGAATTCGCATTCTCTATCTAATGACAATATCAATTCTTTCTCAGTTTATTCAACAGAAAACAACTACTTTCCTGGCTATATGCCACGACGAATATTGAATTATATCTAATGAATATCCAAAAGGAAGAATATGAAAAATAAAAAAATAAAATTCTCTGAAATTGAGAATTTACATTTTTTTCATATTGGATAACTAGGTTGTCAGTTAGAACGACAATGCTCGCACATACCTATTTTGGATTCAATAAAAAGCGGGACCATATCAGCAGAATACATATGCGCGCGCATTCGGGACGATTCGCAGATGATTTCTGTGTATCCGCTAGTGTTTTTGATTAAGACTATTCCACCACTCACCGATATTGCCGCCGCCGTGCCCGTCCGCCTGCCGGTCGCCCCCCTCCCCGCCGCCGTTCTCCTCTTCCTCCTCCTCCTCTCGCTTCACCTCCGCCGGCTCGCGCCTCATCTGATCCATTTTGCCTTTGCAGCCGCCGGCGCGCGGCGGCGACGGGCTGTCCTCGTCCTTGTCGGCCGCCGCCGTGATGGCGGCCATCTGCGACGACAGCGAGGAGGAGCGCGGCGCGTTAAGGGCGGCGCGTTCGGCGCTGCTCATGCCTTTGCCTGCACACGAAAAATAGGCGATTTTTCATTCGGAAATTAGTACGTAAATAGTAGTATTATAGTATGTGGAGTATGTGGAGACTTCAACTGGAATAAATTCGTTAGCGGAGAGGTGACATACGTCAACGATTTAACGTAATTACCTACCTTTTGCAAGCAATATCCAGAATATATCCCTGCAGGGGTAGCTGAAACTAGGGTCCCTTGATGTAAATTGACGTATTTGTCATCTCAACAGAGTATGGACAGATCCTAGACTTCTCTCACTCTAAAGTGTTTGTGAAAAAGTTATATAGTTCCATCTTTATTCTTTTCTGGGGATAAACACTAGATTTCTGACATTTGTTGTATTTTAGGTTATATTGAAGACATTCCACATGTAATTTCTCATCCATCTCTACATATTATATCCAAATGATGATAATTTTCGAGTTTTTGATTTTTCAACTCCAGTATAATCTTTGTGAGGCAGTGAGCAAATTTTTCTGAATGTTTAATACGTTTTACCAAATGGGACTGTTCTTAGGCAGTACCCATCAATAAATTAATTTTGACTACAGACTAAGCCTTATGGTTGATAAATGGTGAAAAATTTTAGGTACTTCCTTATACTATACCTTTTCAACTTCAATTTCGGAATCGGTAAGTTATATTTCGGAAAAAGTAATCTCGATTTCAGAATTGGTCAGTTCGATTTCAGAAATGGTAAACTCAATTTCAGAATCGGTGAGATGAATTTCAGAAAAAGTCCATTCAATTTCAGAAATGGTAAGTTGTAATTCAGAATTGGTAGGATTGTAGTAAGCGATTACCACTAAAACTATGAGTTTATATTACAGCAATAAATCACAATTACATCATATTTTTAACCCGTCAAAACTTTATGACTTTTCTTGTCATCATTCCAAATATCGAATATCTACAGGGTCATAATAACGGTTATGTAGAGGCACTACATTATTCTCCCCCCTCTGCAAAATAACTTAAACAGGTTGAACAAAATTAACTCTTCTGCCAGAACGTGTGAAATATGGTTTAGCGTTAGAATCTCCGTTGGGTTCTCTCAATATAGACTTTTCAGCGATTGACGTTTTCTCTTCATGTTTTATAGAACTTGTATCTTCCTGATGCTTTATTGTGCTTGGTCTATCTCCTGGAGTTTCAACATTTTCTAAGAAAGCAGGTTTCAGTCTATCCACCGATATATTCTTCTTCTTACCTCCGATGGAAATCCCGAAATATTTGTCTGTTCTCTCGAGAACTTCATATGGACCAGAATAGGGACTCTGTAGAGGTTTCCTGACACAATCTACTCTCACAAAAACATGTGATGTATTGTGCAACTCTTTATGAATAAAGACTTTTTTCTGTCCATGATGGTTAGAGTGCCTGGCATCAGTAATAATTCCTCTCATGGATTGTTGTAATCTCTTCACGAATTCATGATAGGACAAATCGTTCGTCGTTGGATTTGGAATAATTAAATCTCCTGGAACTCGTAAAGTGGATCCAAATAATATTTCAGCACTACTCAAACCATTCAGGTCCTCTTTGGGCGCAATCCTGATTCCATACAATACCGTTGGTAAGTGTTCAGACCATCTTTCTGGTTGATAACCTTTCAATGCTGCCTTCATTGTTCTGTGGAAGCGTTCAATCATTCCGTTTGAACTGGGATGGTAAGGTGTAGTCCGGATGTGTTGAAATCCCATTATTTTTGCAAATTCTTTGAATAAAGCGCATTCGAACTGCCTTCCTTGGTCGGTCGTCACCTGTGACGGTATTCCATAACGAGTAATCCATCCATTGTAGAATTCTTTAGCTACTGTTTCCGCGGTTATATCTGTGATGGGAAATGCTTCTACCCATCTCGAATACCGATCAATGCAGGTGAGACAGTAAGAAAATCCATTTGAAGTTGGTAGTGGTCCGACGAGATCAATATTGATATGTTCAAATCTGGCATCAGGTATTTTGAAAGTACCAGGCGAACTTACAGTGTGTCGAGTTATCTTCGATTTTTGACAAGTCAAACAGCATTGTACCCATCTTCGAATATGTTTACTCATATTTGGCCACACATATTTGCTATTGATAAGCCTTGTCATAGCTTTGACGCCTGGATGGGACATACCATGTATTTTTTTGAAAATATCTCTTCTCAATGATTCGGGAACGAACGGTCGGACTTTATCTGTTGAAACATCACATACCAACCTAACATTTGTTCCAGGGATATCTATATTTTTCAAAACAAGTGAGGTCTCATTTTTATCCAATAGCCTCTGTAATTCTGCATCTTGAGATTGCTCATTTGCCCACACATCATAGTCAATTATTTTCTCTAGATCAATACTTGATATCCTGGACAGTGCGTCAGCGACTACGTTTTCATGACCAGGAATATGTCGGAGATCTGTAGAAAATTGACCTATATAATCCAAATATCTGGTCTGCCTAGGAGTCGAAGATTCTGGATTCTTCTCGAAGGCAAAAGTGAGTGGTTTATGGTCGGTGAAAATTATGAATTCCCTGCCTTCCAACATATATCTAAAATACTTGATTGATTCATATATAGCCAATAACTCTCTGTCATAGGTACTATATTTGATTTGTGCACTAGAAAACCTTTTTGAGAAGAATCCAAGTGGCTTCCAAGTATTTTCTTGATATTGATTGATTGCTGCGCCAATACTGTTATTTGAAGCATCTACCATGAGTGCAAGTGGCGATGAAGTTGAAGGAAACATTAGTGAAGTAGAATTTGCAATGGAGTTTTTAATTTCGACGAATGCTTTTTCTTGTTCCGAGGACCACGTCAACTTACAATTTTTAGTGCTAACTCCTTTCAAAAAGTTGTTTAGAGGAGCTTGAATTTCAGCACACTTCGGAATTGACATTCTATAAAAATTAACCATACCCAAGAATCTTCTAAGAGAATTTAGATCGATTGGTTTTTCATATTCTAGAATGGCTTGTATTTTTTTATTAGTTGGCATTATACCATTTTCAGTGATCAAATATCCCAAAAATTCTATAGATTTCTTGCCAAATTCACTTTTTTCTGGATTTATAATAATACCATGACTTTCTAATTTTTCAAATAATAATCTCAAATGGTTCACATGTTCCTGTTCATCTTTCGAAGCAATTAGAAAATCATCTAAATAAGGAAAGCAGAAATCTAAATCTCTCGTGATCTGGTGTACATACCGCTGACAAGTCTGAGCCGCATTTTTCAGTCCGAATGGCATTTTCAAGTATTCAAATAGTCCAAATGGAGTAATAATTGCTGTTTTCTCGATATCTTCCGGAGACATTGGAATCTGATGAAACGCTTTGACCATATCAATTTTGGAAAATATATGTTTGCCTTCCAAATGATAGGTAAAATCCTTTATATTCGGTAATGGATATCTATCTGGAACTGTTCGTCCATTCAGCCATCTGTAATCACCGCATGGTCTCCAATCTCCATTTGGTTTCCGAACCATATGCAAAGGACTGGCCCAAGGACTCTTAGAAGGTCTGATTATTCCTTGCTCCATTAAATTTTTAAATTCTTCTTTGGCAGCTGATAATTTTTCTGGATTCAATCTACGTACTTTACAATGAACTGGCTGTCCACGAGTGATGATTTGATGAACAATTCTAGTTTCTTGATGTGTTGTGGAATTCAAAGATGCTTTTGTTAAATTTGGAAATTCTGCTAAAATTCGATGATATGGACAACTGATATTTATTGAATTAATGCTAATATAATTCTTGATAGAATAAAGTTCACATTTTCTAACCAAACTTGTATTTGTGTCGATGATTTTCTTTCCGCTGACATCAATTATCAAACCAAAATTTCCAAGGAAGTCTGCACCAATGATTGCTCGATCCACATCTGCCACAATGAATGTCCAAGTGAATCGCCTTCTCAATCCTAATGTCAAGGTCAATATTTTATCTCCAAATGTTGCAATTTTAGTTCCATTCACAGCATACAGGACGTTATCTGTTTTGTCGATACATATTCTGGATTTAGGAATCACAGAAACATTTGCACCAGAGTCAATCAAATATTGCATACGTGTAATAGGATCAAAAATGATAAGACGACTTTCAGTTAGACCTTTGTCGCTCGTCGCCATCAACGACTGGTCTGATCGTTTTCCGGAACATATTTACAAGGTGGAATACATCTTCTAGCAGAATCTCTGTATCTTCGATGATAGAAACAAATATCTTCATTCTTATCTAATTCTGTACCTCTTGATTTTGATCTGAATCTTTGTCTAAATCTTGACCAATTGCGATTTGGCGATCTTCTTGAAACTGTATCATCTAGCTTCTTGATTAACTGTTCCAATTTGTCTTCTAAGGGGTATTGGCTCCTCGGTCCAGAAGATCTGAGTGCAGAAATTTCAGAATTTGGAGATCCTTGCATCATCCCATCGGCCATGTTGATCAACTCTACGTCGGATAATTTCTCATGGAATGCTCTTATGAGCTGTTCAACAGTGCTAGGTAGTTTCTTGAGCCATGCCAGGATTATAAGATTTGTTGTCATTTGACCCGAGGCCAGGTCAGTCATCTCACGATAGAGCTGACTGGGTTTTCTGTCGCCCAATTGGCACTCAGAAAAAAGTTTTGTCATTTTTTGTTCATCCGAAATTTTATACATCTTGATGAGCTGTGTCTTCACAATTTCATATGCATTCTGTTGATCTTGAATTTTGAACAGGTTTGAATTCTCTTTGGCAATATTACAATCTAACATGGCCAGTATTTTTCCACATTTAATTTTTTCTGAGAAAATAGAATTGAGCTCGAAAATTGATTCTATAGCATTGAACCATAGTTCAGGTTCGTTTTTCCAGAAAGTTGGCAATGAAACAGATTTCGCTCTAGAGAATTCTGCCTCTAAATCTTGACTTCTGGAATTCCAAGCCTCTTTAGAAGAACTGGCGATAGTATTTTGACTCATCATTTTTTCTAGTTCCTCTAATTTT